TATAATTTCTAAAAGCTTTATTACTAAAGCGCTACTAACTTCGCCTACTTCTAGAATAATTTCTTCCGCCTTACATAGAAGCGTTAGCTTCTAGTAAATTAATAGGTAGAGAAGTTTTATAAGAAGCTACTAGAGAATATACGTACGTAGTTAGGTATATACTAACGTTAATACGTTAATAACTATAATTACTACGTAGACCTTACTTAAGACCTTACTTAAGAGCTTGCCTCTAGAGAAGCACGTGTTGCTACTAGAAAGGCTAAAAAGTATAACATAATTGCGTTAATGCTATAATACGCGCCTCTAGCTCTTCTAGGTTTTCTAGCATCTAATAAAACTCTAGTAATCTAGAAGCTAGTTACCTATTTTTAATGCTACTAACCTAGCTACCTAAGCTATAATTACTCTAGAGCTTCTACTGCGTAGAAAGCTATTAAGAACGTTAATCTAGAGAAGAAGCCTATAGAGCCTATAGAGCTATAAGCACCTAAGAATAACACGTTAGAATATAAATCTAATAATTTAGAAAAAGCCTAGCTCTAGAAGAAGTCTTCTCTCTAGAGCTATCTACTAGAGTAATTAACCTACATAAAAAGCTATTTAGTAGTTCTACGTTTACTCTACTCTACTAAATCTCTATAAACAGCCTTATAATTAAGCTTAGAGGCTTAATTAATATAGAAGTAAGTAGCTACGTCTTAGTGTACTTAAAGCACCTTTAAACTCTTAGAAAAAACCTCTACGTTAAGCTAGCGTGTATAGAACCTATCCCTCTTACTAGATATAATAGACAACCTAATAGCTAGGTAGATAAATACTTTAAAGCTAATCTAGTACTAGAAAGCTACTAAATACGCATCTACTTTGTATATTATAATACTAGCTACTATAATATAATAATTAGTTATAAGCTACTTAAAGAAGTTAACGTTTAGGTTAACTGCAAGCAGCGCGCACTAATGTAGCTAGACACTAATTAATTAATTAATTATAAACGCGACGCGTTTGTCTCTATATAATTCTCTTAATCTACTACTAAAGCTTAAGTAGCTTACTAAGCTAACACTAATTACTGCAACGCTCTAATATTAGTAGTAGAAAAGCTAAGAGTAATATAATAAGAGAAGAGAGAATTACAACGCTAGAAGCTTTAAGAAAACCTGCGTAAGATAGACAGGTAGCTTAAGAATCTTAACCCGCCTGCTAGGTTGCCCTGTAAGCTAAAAAAGCTACCTGTTTTACAGAAAACATGCTTAAAGGCTAGGCTTAATATTAATATAATTAGCGTAGCTACCTTTATAATTAACGCGCGTTAAAAAGATACTATAATTAGGCACCTTAGCGTTTATAAGGTTAATTAGCTTATTACTAATAGAAAGAAAACCTAGATTACTAATCTAGAGAAGAAACTCTACTAACTAGTTACTAAAAAGCTTCTATCTCTAGGATATGCTAGCGTAACTGTAGCCTATTTCTTAAAAAAGAATTCTAATACTCTACTACTATATAGAGAGAGTATAGATTATAATATTAAGCTTATAGTAGAAAATATCTTAACAAATAGTTCTCTTTATAGCATGTTACTAGAGTACCTATAGTTAGTATAGAATTATCTAGAGAACTACCTTTATCGTAGCTTTATTATCTATAGTAATGCGTTATACGCGTTACTAGTTCTATTTACTAAAAAGCTAGATAGAGAATAAAGGTTCTACGTTAACTATTAAAAGCTTAACGCTATTACAAAAAAAGACGCCTATTCTATCTCTCTTATCTAGAAAACGCTTACACGCCTATCGCGCGCTAAAGTCTTTACTAAGTTAGACGTAAGGTAAGCTTTCTACTAGATCTAGCTTAATAAGTTAGTAGAGAACCTAACGTCTTTCTACACGTAGTATAGTAACTATAAGTATTAAGTTCTACTCTTTAGCCTCTATAATAGCTCTACTACCTTTTAGTAATATATTAACAAGATATTATATAGCCTGCTAGACAATTTCTATATAGTATATATTAATAATATTCTTATTTACTTAGAGAATCTACTTAAGTATAAAGCCTATATTATTTAAATACTTAATTAATTATATAAAGCTAGGTTGTAAGTAGATATTAAGAAATCTAAATTTACTATTAAAAGTACTAAGTTTCTAGAATTAATTATAAGCACTAATAGAATCTAGAAGAACTCTAAGAAGGTTACTACTATCTAGAATTAGCCTGTACCTATAACTCTTAAGAGTCTTTAATTATTTCTAGGTTTCTATAATTTCTACTAAGCCTTCTTAAAGAATTACGGCTAGATTGTTCGCTCTCTTACTAAGCTACTAAAATAGAGAGCATAGTATACCTTTAGAGAAATTAAGCTTACAGTATTTTAGTAGGTTAAGAATCTTATACTATCTAATACTATACTAGCTTATTACTCTCTCTATTACTGTATAAGAGTAGAAACAGACGTATTAGATAGCGTAGTTACTAGAGTTCTTTTATAGCTTTAAGAAGATAGTATCTAGAGACTAGTAGCTTTTTTTAGTAAGATAATAAACACTATCTAGATAAACTATAGTATTTATAATAAAGAAATACTAGTAGTTATTCTTAGTGTATAGAAGTAGAGAAGCTAGTTAATTAGCTTATAAGATCTAGAGCCTTTTATAGTATTAACTAACTACTAAGCCTTAGAGTACTTTACTACTAAGTAAGAACTTACTACTAGGTAGGTCTACTAGGCGAATAATATTACTAACTATAATCTTAAGCTTACCTATTAACTAGGTTTAGCTAATATAGTAGTAAACGCGTTATTACAAAAGTAAGAAGAGCTTAAGACTTAAAAGAAGAAGAATTACGCCGCCTATACAAGGGCTTTTCTAAGTAAGAAGTAAATTAGCCTCTTAGCTATTAAGTAATTATTAGGTAAGTTATTAGTTCTAGCCGCCTAGAGATTAGCTAGTAGTGCTACAGAAATTGCCGCTGCTAATACATTTATAGAGGTACTCTCTACTAAGAATCTATATACTATAATTAATTAGATTATTATAGCTAACTAATTAGACAACTCTCTATAGCTAGCTTAAGAAAAAGCTACTATATTAGACTCTACCTAGAAAATAGAAGACGGCTTATTAACCTATTAGAATTAATTAATAGTTTCTACTATTAACTACCTATAAACGTATTTAATACGCGCTATATATACTACTTAGGTAACTACCTATCTAGAGCGCTAGAAAACTACCTAGTTACTACAAGATTAATATTACTAGCTAGATATATAAAAAGATATTAACACGTACGTAGTAGTATACAAGGCTTACTACTAGAGCTATACTTTATAGAATAAAACGCTAGGTCTCTTAAAGCCTTTACCTATCTCTAAGAGAGTATAGTAGAACGTCTCTATAAGTTTTAAGAGCTTTCTTTCTAATAAGAAAGGATTTAACTACGTATACGTTGTTGTAAATTAGCTAAGTAAGTAGAGCTTCTTTCTACTCTACTATAAGAAAATTATAGCTTAACGTATAGTAGAGCTATATTACTAATATATCTAGCGTATATATAGTCTTTCTAGATTTATTATATTAAATTATAGCCTATAGTTTATCTCTACCTTTATAGATAAGCTCTATTAGCTTATAGAAATTAAATAGAAGCTCTCTACTACGTACTACTTATAAACTAATAGAAATATAGAGATTATTAATTAATATCTTAACTAGCGTCTGCGTCTATTTGTTAACTACTACTAGAATAATTAGTTAGACCTTCTACTCTATATAGATTAGGTATAAGCTACGTTACTATATAAAACTATAGAACTAATAGTATATAAAATTAAGTTTAGATATTAACTAGTATACTACTAGAATTAGAAGAAGCGTATAGTAAAAGCCTCTACTCTACGTAAGCGTCTCTTACGCTAGAAAGCTTAGAATTTTACTAAGAAGTAATATAACGCCGTAAAAAAAGCTACTAAAATTATATAAGGTAATATCGCGAAAGCGTAAGCTAGGCAGACGCTCTAAGTAAATAAAAAACGCTAAGAACCTAATTTTACTATAGGCAATCTTGTCTATATTAAACCTTATAGCTTTTTAATAGATTAGCCTAGTATAAAGCTAAATTAATAGATATATAGCTCTTACCTAATTATTACTATAAAAGGTTACTTCTTCTAGCTCTAGCTACCTACGTATATACGTATACATAACGTCTTTTACGCTAAGTAGTTATAAAAAGCTTTAGAGCTATTACTAGAGTAGGTAGAGTCTAAGTAGCTACCTATTAAAGTTAATAGTAATCTAGAATAGCCTATATATAAAATTCTAGATAGCTATCTTTATTAAAATTACCTTTAATACCGCGCTGTATAAGTTACTTATAATTCTAACTCTACCTAGTATAATACTATAGGCTTTATTAACACTCTCTATAAGATAAGAGACTTTTATATAGTATACCTAGATAAGCTAGAGCCGCTATTATAATTAGATGCTTAGATTAAGGCGTACGAAAAAGAGAAGACTCTAGAGAAGATAGTAGAGAATTTAAAACCTGTAAGAGTAGAAGACGTAAGGGTAACGTAAAGGCGCCGCTAAGTAATTTAGAACTCTACTAAGCTTATAGCATCGTTTAAGAAGAGAGCTAATAAGAAAGCTACTCTACTAACGCGAAAATAAGTCTCTTTCTCTCTAGAGGGAAGGTAGTAGCTGTAAAAGCGCTTTTAGTTTAAAACTAATATAAATACATTTACTATAAGCTAAAAGAAATAGTTAAGAGTATAACGCGAAAGTTCTAGAAGAAGAGAGATCTAGAAGGCGTATTTTAGAGCTTAGGAATAAGCTCTCCCTGTAAGGGGGGGTGATGTAACAGTCTGGTTTAGGGATTTACCTTGGGTCACATGACCTCGGGTCACGTGATCTTATCACGTGACCTAACCTAGCGCCTTGGCGCTCGGCACCTCTGTATATAGAGCCTCTCAGAGCCTTTCCTTAACTCCTGACCTTTGGATAGCTGAATTTAACCCAACCTACCCTGCTAGCACCCCTTATCCTTACAGCTCGTAGAGACAGTGCTGCCTGCAGCCGACTTACCCAGCTAGGTGTTCCAGGGGCGCTCACAGCAGTGGAGACCGCGGACCCAGCCCTCACACACAGCATAGCACAAGCAAGGCGCAGATAAGAAAAACCCATCCATACACACAGACACTCTTCCTCACTAAAAGCTAGCTGGCTTTAGCGCAGCTGGCCGAACCACCCCAAAAGCTTCCGACTTCTGGAATCGTATCTAATTCTCCTCTGCAGCCTCGAGGATGCAACTGGCCGTTTCGGGCCCTCTACTATCGATCGGGTACGCTATAGATGCTTTGCTTCCAGAGTGCAGTCTAGCTCTCAATGGAACGACGAAAGACGAAAGATGAAATGACAAAATGGCGGCATGGCGACGCGGTAGCTTCTCTTCGCCCTGGCATATCGACACATCCGAGGCATATGCAATCAGACCTGGCGGGTTTGATTGGATGGTTTGGTTTATCGGTGGATATGTGGTGAGTTGGGTCGATCACGTCACGTGATTCCCTCCAGATCGAGAAGTGTTGCAGGGAGTGATGAACGGTTGAGAAATGCGAAGGAAAAAAATCCATGCAAAGAATGTAACGTGGATGATGAGACAGGAGGAAGAATCAATGTTGTAAGTATTGATAATTGGGCTTGTGAGAAATGTAGGCTACTCTCGTTTCTTTTCTTCTTCCAGTCCCTGAGGGTGGGGATTATACTGGACTGGAGCGGCGATGAGATGCAATCATCTAGTCATCGTCCTCTTCCTCGGCTGCTGCACCGGCGGCCGCATTGTCCTCCGCAGCATCGTCATCCTCCTCCGCCGCAGCACCATCGGCCGGAGCCGACTCCTCTTCATCATCCGCCTCCGCTGCATCATCCTCTTCCGCCGCCGCACCGCCCTCTGCACCCGCGCCAGCCTCGGCTTCGTCGTCTGCCTCCGCTGCGTCGTCCTCTTCTTCAGTGGCAGCCGCTCCCTCCTGGCCCGCCGCTGCACCCGCATCTGCCTCGGCTTCGTCGTCTACCTCCACGGCATCATCCTCTTCCGCCACTGCACCAGCATCTGCACCCGCATCCGCCTCCACCGCATCGTCCTCTTCCTCCGCGGCAGCAGCAGCCTCTTGATCCGCCGCCGCACCATCTTCCACAGCCGCATCCTCCTCATCCGCAGCACCAGCAACGGCGTTGTTATTAGCAGCCGCCGCGACATTTCCACCGCCTGAAATCGTCGCATCGAAAGCCACAGCCGTGCTGGGTTGCCCGGCAGCCTCCGTATCCAGCGCAATGTTGTTGTTCAGCTTCGTGAGCTCCTCCTCGAGCTTCGCAGCCACATCCTCGCCTTGCGCTTGCTGGGCCTCGAGCTCGATCTTTGTCGCCATGAGCTTGAGGACTTTATTTTTGATCTTGCCGTTCTGGGGTACTGTTAGCGTCCATCCACACTATCCCTCACGTGCGAAAGATGGGATCGAATAGGGATCAAACGTACCTCCAACGCTGTAGCCTCATCGCCCGTCGCCGCCTCAATAGCCGGATTAAACGCATCCGTCTCCGCATCGTTCGCTACATCGTTGACCGCGCCGAGGAACTCGATGTCCGCCGGGTCGATGTTCTCCGGGTTGTTCAAGTCGAGCGCGGAGAAGACATCGAGGGCTTCTTGCTCGGCATTTCCGGCCTGGCCGCCTGAGATGGAGATCGCGTCGAATGTGGTGTCTGCGAGCACGGCGCCGGCTTGGCGGGTCTTGAGCGAGCGCTTGTTGGGAGTGGGAAGGGCGGCGGTCAGAGCCGTAAGCGAGAGGATGGCGACTGAGAAACGCATGATGGATAAGAGAGAGGTGGGATATAGAAACGGAGTTATAGCAAGGGCGATAAGGAGTGGATAGAAACAGCCCGGCTGTGGAAGGAAAGAAGGTAAGGAAGGTATAAACACAGCGTCAAGCTGGAGGAAAGAAAGAAAAGACCGTCAAGGAAGTGAACTGGCGAGCAATAAATGGGATGGTGAAGAATACGAGACGGCCTCACCGTCGTCTTTATACAGCCCCCCTTCCCACTCATGGGTGCCGCACCCGAATTCACGATGCACCACCCTTCCCCAGACGCGGCCTTATTTCGCTCACCTCCTACCAGGCGGCGTCTCACACGCGAACTACTCGCTAACCTCAATGCACTACCGTAGAGCGCGTAAATAGGAATTTCCCCACAAATAAAGACCCGATGGCGTGCTTTCGCAGACGTCGTATGTGTCGAGATAGCGGCATCAGTCGTCCTTGGCAGAGCTAACGCGCATAGCACCCCAGACAATAGTCCTTGAAACCTATTCCTGGATGAGGCCATGGGTCGACGTTGGGAAGGGGTGCCCGCGAGGCTGTTACGGAGCGCTTGGCGCGGAGCTTGGAGTTGAGCTTGGCATGTCAGAGGTTTGGCAGCAGGGGCGGAAATGCGCCGGAAGAGGAAAATAGTGCTTGGCGACGGCCTCGGCTGCGGAACCGTGCATAGGCCAAGCGTTTTAAGAGTCAACGTCGGTGTGAGGCGTGAGCTTGTCTGCCTGAGGTGCTCCTCCGGATGCGACAGTGAGCCTGAGCGGCAAGAGAGGCCTCGGAGTAGTGAATTTTCCACCATTCATCGGAGACGAGAAATCAGAGGCGGGAAGGACAGCAAAAGCCGAACATCGAAAAGCGTACTGACCTGATACGTAGGAGTGCGGATGGACGACGCAACGGGCCGAAACCAAAGGAAAGAAAGACGGGGACAGGCAAAGACGCGGTGCGAACACATGGATGCATTCTAAAAATGGCTTGAGTATCCCTAGAGGCATTAGCAACGTTCAAGGTTTTGTGAAATGGTCCCAATGTGAGCTGTCGCTGATGACACCGTCGTGGTGGTAGGTATATTGCAGCTCCCCAGGTCTGAGGGCAAGAATGACGCGACTAGAAGATGTGCCGAGGTGCGTCTAGAAATAATACCATCGTGAAGTCGCATGCTATATTTACCATCAATGAGGCTTTCCAAATGGTGACAGATGAGCCAGGAATTGATGAAAGTGTAGGGATGAAGTCAAAGGAGAGCCGGGCAGGCTGGGGTGGCTGATTGTGGCGATCCCGTGATTAGTCAGCCAAGCTATCGTCGATCACATGTCGCGTCCGCCTTCTTACCATCCTCTCCTATTTTTCGTTGTGTTGTCTCTTTCAACAATTCGTCATTGGTGATCACTCAACACGCATCGTTTGCCGGGTCACGGCTTTTCCAGTGGAGAGAATCAAACAAGGAACCGGCTGCCGCTGCTCCGCCGTTGGTACGGAAGAACCGGAGAATAAAAGGCCCATGACAGTGCTGTGATGAAGGAAGATCCGGATTTGTTACTTGAGGAAAAGATATTCGACCCTAGGCCTAACCCTTTCCACTACCCCAGTGTTGGATTCACTTCAGCCTACTACAGCCCCGGCAATCACACAATCCAAGCAGCCATCGCGAACACCATCGACAATCCCAGAGCCACCGTATTCATCATCGAAACCGTTATCGACGCCGCCGCCGACTCCTCGTTATTGATCGATGCGGGCGCCCCTGAGTCCGCCGGGCAGGTCAGATTGAAGATGGGCTTGTTGTCGAGCTCCGGGTCAAGCGCGAACTTCATTTCGTTATCGGGATTGGAATCGCGCAGGATATAGTACCAGGTGTTCCTCCTTCCAAACAAGGTGCAGCCGACGTCGTTCCAGTACGTCTGCGCGTTTTCCAGCGTCGCTGTGGCCTGGCCGAAATTCGGGCCGGTAGACGGCCATCCGGTCTCGGTGATCCAGACGGGTTTATCGCCCACGGCGCTTTCGGTACGGTTGAGCGCGTCCTTGAACAGAGTGGTTGCGTTGGAGATGTCGTTGCCCTTGTCGTCCTCATAATACGGGAAGAGATTGGCGCCGACGAAGTCGACTCTGTCAATCACATCCGTGTTCGACTCGTTGACCCACGCAGTCCAAGTGTCGATATGCCCGAGGGGGATGTCCTTGAGGTCGGTGTCCTTGAGCGCTTCGCGGGCGGAATCAATGAAAGCGATGATTGTCTCAGCGTCCTGGCCCTTTCCGGCATTGTTCCTGATACCGCTCTCCGAGACGCGGTACAGATCCTCGCTGCCGACCGAAATGCCAATGACGAGATCGGTAAAGTTCTTGCCGTACTGCTCGATGGCCTTCTCCAACGCGGTCAGCTCATTGTCGATTGTCCCCACGCCGGAACACCACATGCCCAGGAGAAGCTTGGTGTTCGTTTTGACCGCGGCGGGGAAGGCTTCGATGGGGTCATTGTCCGTCTTAGGCTTGATATTCGTGTACAGGCGGATGCTGTTGAAGAGGCCGGGGGAGTGCTGCAGCTTCTGTGCCGCCTGGAATTCCTTTTCGAAATCGTCCTGCGTCTTCGTCGCACCGCTGTCGGTCGTCGCTCCCGAGTTGAATCCAAGGTAGACTTCCTGTGCGACAGCCCCACCTAGTGCCGCTAACAGGGAAATTGTGGTTGCAGCGCGCATGGCGACACGATGTGAGGTTGGTTGAGTGAAGGAGTGACTTGATGATACCGCAAGGGTGAGAAAGACTAGCGAAAGTGAGGCCGACGATCCTTTTGACGAAGCGTGGTTGCCAATGACTACAAGAGAAGGAAGAGAAGGAGCCTGCAGCGGTGGACGTGCGCTTTAGTAGCCCGCAGGATCTGGATCTGTTCACCATACCAAGCTTTCGCTCATTTATCGACCAACTCTTGGATTCGCTAACGTTGAAGAAAGGTAAACGGCACAGGGGCACATTCACGCTCATTGGCCAAAGTGCGGGGAAGAGGCGATGCGGTAACCTTGCACAAGAGCGGCTGAACTCTTGGCCCTCACTGCTCTTTGGACAGCACACTCGTGTTTCGCATTCACGCGGGGAGGTAAGCGGCACAAATGCTTTATTTGGCATCTTTTAGCGTAGCTAATTCTCTTCGTGTGGCACGAAGTTGGAGGGCTGAAACTTGCATGCAGTTGGGGGCGGATTGCTAGAGCCTGAGGTAAGGGCACTTCTTGATCGCATCAAATCTACGACAGCTTTGCTAACGGTCAATCTAGACGTTCAAGAGCTGTCTTTACTGCGGACACGTTACTAACGGAAAATGACATACCGTGCACGCTCAACCCGTAAGTATTGGACAGCCCGAAAGCCTCTCGATCTGTGCGCTCCTCCGCCAAGCTTCTACAACCTTCATTGGTCCACTCTATCTCTCGAGCCGTCCCACGAAGGCATTTGTCTTCTAAACCATTCCGTTCGCTGCTTCAGCCGGCCGCAAGAGATTCGCCTGAGTCCTAGAAGACCTAGGTCCTTGGCAACGAGGGTCGCTCACGCAACGCCTAAGGCCGAAAATCATCCATGTCTAAATGGCAGGCATGTTCAGGGCTCTTGGCTCTCTTCAAATCAGAAATGCTTTTTGGCATTATAACTAGGCAGATGACTCTAAAAAGTCACTTTCCAGAGACACCAATCGGGCTCGAGACGTACCAGCCATCAGAGAAGTTTATCGACACGAACACGCAACGCCTACGATATCGCCTCATCCATCCAAACCTTAGGTGAACTTCTCGATCGACCGTCCAGGCCCACTAGGAGCAGTTTCAATAATGTCTTCGGTTCGTGGGCCCACCGTCCTTCCGCTCTCCACCCCCACGTTTCCGAACTATCTACCCTACTTTGACTGTTTGGAGGACTTTTCAGCTCGCAAGGAACGCGGTGCGCTCACCCACACGGTCTTCCAGCGCCCTTGCAGCAGCCCGCCAATGCACACTTCTTCCGGCAGGGAATTAGCGGACGGCAGAGTAAGACCGGGGTGTTCCGGTTCTTGCGCATTGCTGGGGCGGGCGGATGTTGGAGGTGCGCCGGTTTTCCGGGAAGCAGAGTCGGCCTTCGGCGCGTTTGGGTAAGGTGGACGTCCGTAGCGAGTATGGCTATATAGAGGAACATAGGGGTCCATGGGTCGGGGTGGAGCGTGAGCGGATTCAGCAGGAGGTGTCTCGAAGGAAGGCAGTTGTAGCCCGCCAGTATACGCAGTCTCGAAATTGTGGGAGAAGTCTGATGCTTGCAGTTCAGGCGTGTGCTTGGGCTTGACGGGATATCGAGGGTTCATCCGCGCCTTCGCTTTCGCCTTAGCAGCAGGGTCTTCAGGGGTAGGAAATTCCCGCTCGTCATCTACAAAGGTCGGCGGGTGAGCGTCCCGCCCACGATTCCTACGGCAATTCCGCTCATGGCGCAAGGCCGTCGCCTCTGCATCCGTCCAGCGATACTCATAAGGATCGACTTTGTAGTTGGCGTAGCGGACATTCAAGAAATCTCGGCGACCGCCGTCATTCGGGAATATGCCGACTTGCAATTCGTTTGCGGTGCGGTATGTGAGGTGGAGATAGTTGAGACCTATAGTGACATCTTCCTTACTGGGCCATGTTGCGTTCAGCGTCATCTCCTCGTCAAGGCGTGGGCGGTATGCTTCGGTGTCGCGAAGTGAGTCCGGAATGACTGGGTCTGAACCCAAGCGCGAAAGTCGCAGGTACGAGAGATTCTCCATCTTCTGCAGTTCGACGATTACGCGGTGCCAGCGTAGGTCTTCCAGCACACTCGGGTGGGCCGGATTCATGGGCATGCCGTTGATGAATATCGGACCTTCCGAATGCAAAGAGCATTTTATGAGGGAGAGGTGAGTAAGGCGGTGTTGATGGCACTGTAGCAGTTCGATGAGAAGGCCCGAGCGTGTCTGCAGTTTCTCCAGTGTAAGCTTCTTGAGGTGTTGTAAGGGCAGTCCATCGAGGCGTGGGTCACGGCCCACAAGAGGTGGAAGATTCAGTCCAGGTATACCCGGCTCGACTTTGACGCTCAGTTGTTGGATAGTAGCACCGTGGCAAAGAGGCTTGAGGGTCGTGCTGAGGTATTCAACATAGTCCAACCCAGGCTCATGGGGTATCTGGAGCTGGAGCATTGTAATACTCTTGTGGAGTTTCTTAGTGTACCACGTGGGTGGCGTATGAATATCAGTGAGGAACGATCGATCCTTATCGCCGATGCTTAGGCATATGTCGATATTGCGACGCGGTAATTGCTCCAGGGCCATGGCGATCATGACAAACACCGTGGGAAGGGATCCGAACCGAACATCTGGCTTGCAGTAACCGAAGGGGCAGTTGAAAGGACGAAACCGGGAATGACCCCAACTCTCTCGTACGCTGGCGCCATCGAATTCCAGCTCGTCGCCCAGGAGGACTAGCTCGAGCTTGGGCAGCTTTCCCAGCGCCTGCGCGATCCGCAATGCATCCACGCGTTCTCGCGAAGCGTATAGCTCATTCATACTCATAGGACGGATACCAAGCTTTGAATGCCCTGAGGTGTTCTTTCCTTTCTCGGCAGCCTGTTTGACCTCTGCATCGTGAAGCGGATCAATGAGACCGACCCAGTCGGTGCTGAATGCCACATGGCGGACATGCTTTGCGAGATGTGGGTTGTCGGAGATGTCGGAGAGCGATTGCAGGCTGTACGGATGCAGACAGAACTTCAGCGTCCGAAAGAAATGCTCGCCAAATGTGTAGTGAGACTTTGCGCGCAGTGAACGTGAGGTGGAGCGCAGCGATAGGAGGGACGGGCGGTCGAGATAGCCAGCGATCTTCTGGACCATTTCCGTGGGTAATCTATTGAGATGCGCAGGCGAGCGCCGTGAGCGCTGTGGGCCGGGCATTGTGGGGGAGCCGCTTGGATGAGGTGAGTCGGTGGTAGTAAACCTGGGTTGGGTGTGGTTGTGTTATGGTGGTACCTGCAAAGCTGTGACGATGTCGACAAGTACGCAAGAGCACTAGGGCGCTTTATCGCAGTGGTGTGGCGACCCTTGCGGTGAAAACGAAAGGTGACATTAGAGCACGTGGTGTCCTTAGGGACTGCAGGGCCGGCTGGTAAGTGATTGTGAAATTAACTTGAGCATACAATGCATAGAAAGAAGATGGAAGTAAAGACGCCGTTCAGGAAGAAGCATAGGACAATCACACACATCAAACAACGATAGCAACAGCACCAACCAAATGCCCCAATCTCACCGCGCAAGACACGCACTGCTTATCCCCCTTCCTCACTGAAAGAATCCTCTCGCGCCGCAAGAACGTCTCAGCTTCCAGCTGGCCGTGGGCGTTGTTATAGGTCTTGCATACGACGACCGGAGACTTCGAATTAGGAGGCCCTGTGGTCCTGCTGTTACAAGCGATCTCCAGCTCAGTGAGGGAAGAGACGAGAGCGATGCGGCCCGTGAAGCGAAGATCGACTCCGTGGTTGCAGGGCTGACCGGGGATGATGTGGCGGCATGGTGGTAGAGGCTGCGAAGAGGTATCTTGTGCTGACGCAGGCGTGGAAGGCGTCCAGGCTGGCTGAGACAAGACTTCTGCGTCTGGAGTGACGTCGACAGTAACGGGCGCCTGGCGTAGGGGGTTAGCTAGGCCCTAATACCCGTGAAGAATGCATGGCTTACCTTCTCATCACTGCTTTCTGCGTTTTCCTTCTCATGTCCTTCTTTCTTCTCTCCCTTTTTCTTATCTTCCTTCGCCTTCGGCACAGGCTCATACAGCACCTTCCCGCCAGCCAGCCTTCCACCCGCCCTAACCCTCACTCTCCCCGCACCAAAGCAATTCGGATCCACCAACTTCCGAGCCAACCTCAAGATCAAATCTCCGACTCCACTCCACGCATGCCCATGCCGAACACAACAGAACAAGCACACCATGGCCGCAAAAACCGTCTTCGCATAGCTCTTGCTGTACCCGCCCAGCCAAGGCCACGCGCCTTGTATGAGAATGCGATTGAACCACGACCAGCCGAAGTTGCCCTGGAAGCTAGCATAGGCAGCAATGAGTGCAACGATGAGTGTTTGTCGATTGACGCCATTGCCCAAGTCGACATTGTGAACCGTGTGTAGATCGGTTCCGAGCGAGGCGTGGGCGATACCCTGGCCAGTGAGGGTTCTCCCATTCGTCCCTTTAAACCCGATGGTGTTCAAGAGCGCCATGGCGTCATAGCTCGAGGCTGTTAACCCAGCGCTTGCGAAGACTTCGGCGACGTATTGCTTCGAGTAGTAGCGCTGGGAGACGGTGAGAGAGGCATTTTGCACCAGGCGGAAATGGAACAAGATGTCCTGGATGCGCATGCGGTACATCTTATCCGACTTCTTTTCGGCCTCGGCACCCGTCGTCGCCAGCGCAAGGCTCGGATACGTGCCCTTGATGTAGAAGTGCAGCGGGGCCACCGTCTCCTTCGAGATGCTGTCATGGTAGACTGCGCCGATGGTGTGCGCCATAGTAGAATACAAGCGCGCGACGTACAGAAACTGCCAGATCTGGAGCCGAGCCATGCTGTTCTTGATGAAGCTGCCAAGGTCGACGCGGTTTTTTGCGTGGTTGTTGTGGTCCCATTGCTGCCAGTGCACATTTGCGATGGCTTTGAAGATGGCTAGCTCGACTTTCCAGGTTTGCTCGGCGGCGGGATTGGAGTCGGCGAGGAGCTGGGCGGTGTTCCAGATGTTGAGGAGGTCGGGTTCGGAAATGGGAAGCATGCTCTGGAGCATGCCGCGTGAGCGCTCGACATTCTTCCTATGTTCGGCGATGCCCTGGCTGATCTGGTGGGTGAAGATGCCCATCAGTTGAGATCCACTTCCCGCCATTTGGAATGTACGTCGGTGGATGAGTTAAAGGAAAATTGGAGGGGTAATGGAGCGTCGGAGTTGGTGCGGTGCTGAAAGGGAGGCCGGCGAGATATACTGTCAGCAGAGCCTCAATATGCTCTGAACCCATGGTTGGTGCGTTGATTTGCCTCTTTCGGCCCTTGAACCTTTTCTAGTATCGCATAGCCATACTCCTTCGCCTGGTTCTACCATTTCCGGTGACTAATTCGGAGTGCCTGAGCAATGATTCTACCACAAGGTTAAGCCTCTCGTATAAGAATAAAGTCAAGAAACGCAAAAGCATAAACTCACCTCAGCTCATAGGCCGTAGCCGAGACTAGGTCTCGTTTTGGGTTGGTGTGGTGGCCAAGGCAAGCTTAAGCGACAAGGCGGTATTGCGTGGCGAAGTTCACCGGCTCGCTTCGTGGTGTTGTTGGCCAGACGCTCTGACGCCTAAGTGGAAAATGCCGAAGCTGAAACGCCACGAATAATGAGGCACACCGAGAGGCTCAAATCAGATGATCCAGGAGTCCAGACGTGTCCCTTTCAGCCATGGCGAAAGCGTAGTTTAGAGTGCCTAGTAAAGGAGGCAGAAGTATGATGACGATAAGAGCTTTATACGACATACCAGAGTCGCAACTTGAGAGCTGGGCTTCAGAGCCTCTTCGTGCCATTTCGTTCCGAGACCCGAAGACTTTGCAACGTTAGCAGTTTCTTGTATTTCCCACGCAGCGTAAGTCAAAGTACCCAAAAAAGGCGAGAAATGTACTCAGGTTGACTTAGACCAACCATGTCCAACAAGACCGTGGCGGCGACAAACGCTACCATTCCTGCCTGGATTCCTTCAGGTTTTCAGGTCAGTTCGGGAAACACACACTGCCCGAACGCCGCCTCCGTCCTCACACACTTCGCCATATACAATGCCATCAGCATCGGCACCTTCCTCCTCCTCGGCTCGTACCACGTCAAACGCCGCATCAAATTCTGGCTGAAGCCAGGCCTCCGACCGTGGAAGTTCTGGTCCGCAGCCATCAGCGTCATCATGCAAATCCTCGGGATCATCATTACTTCGCTTCTGATCCGCCGGAGCGGGTACAAAGCCGATCTGTGGCAGCTCATCCAGATCTGGGCGATCCGACCGCGGGTCAGCTGGTTCATAGGGAACATGCTAAATATCAAGAGGAGCTGGGGATACATGAACGGGGCGCTCGATAACGTCGTCGTGGAAGTGTTTATCTGCGGTCTCGGCTGTGTTTTCGTTGGACGGCTTGCGCGGCAGGCTCTTACGCACGCGAATGCAGCGACTTCACCGCAAACCGGAACGAACACATGGTACATCATAACATGCGTCGCGAGCATCGTCATGTTGCTGTCGACGGCATTCGAGATCCTGTGGGCTCTGTGGGTCCTGAAGCGGGTAGTCGAGACGAAAGGGAAGGCGGAAGCGCAGGATATCGACAGCTTGAAGTGGATTGTCAGGTTTATGATTCCTCTTACGTACACTTGTAGCTTTCTCATTTGGGCAGCGTTTCTGAACTCCACAGAGGGCGCGTATTGCCCGGGGAATGTCAAATATGTCGACCTCACTTGGGGGTTGATACCGGCAGTGACGAACTTGATGCGAATCTTCGTGGAGGTCTGAAGCAGCTTGATCTTTTGAGTGTCTGGGGGGAGGATGTGGCAAGGTAAGACTAGGGACTTAGCGCACCTCCGCCAGTGTGAATTACCTGTGAATCACGTTTTTAATAAAGGTGATATTTGAAAATTTACATTGAGGACTTCTACCAAAAGTTTGCAACATCTACCAGAGAAAGAGAAGTTGACTCATGAAAAACAAAAAAAAGGTTTCTAGGCCTTGGACTTGCTATACAGAGCCACTTTCTACGTTTGAATTAGTTCTTGTCCTAACGGAAAGAAAAGAATGAGGCTATACAAGTCCACGAAAGAAGGCCGAGGATGGCGCTCTCAACGTGCAGGTTGCCCTCTGTATGAGTAGCCTTGCACTATTCGGCCGGACTACCGGACATCCACGATGTTCGACTCAAAATAGACGGGCGACGAGCCCGACGAGAGTTCTGAGGAGGCTTAGCCCCTAAAGATGTGGCGAGTGAGGGGACCAGATCGGGCTCGACGAGGACTTCAGGCTCGCCAGTCACGCTTTCAACTCCCGGGATAGCAATACGAACACGGAGTTGGTGTGTCGAGGGGGATTTTGCTAGGACCGCTGATGCTTGCTTTGGCGTCGTCGGGGGCGTGAGGGGAGGCCAGGATGGCGGCGGGACGATGCGAAGCTTCGCACGAAGCTCAGGATGTTCGGCCATCCTCACTTTAAAATTCGGATCATTGTTGATGATGCGATCGGCCGGGTTGCCAAGATCAGCCAGTAGACTCCATCGGTTCATGATGTAGTCGGCGATATCCTTCGGCACACCCCGCAGTTTCTCCATCGAGAAGGCTTTATCATATCGGTACAGGCCGGCATAGAAGTCTACGAGGAACTTCTCTGCTGGGGTGTGGTATCCGATATAATCTCGAAGCAGCGTGAATGGCGCCGCGTCAGGAACAAGTTGGATACGGTCGTGCTGGAGTTGCACGTAGGCCTCGCGGAAGACATCCACGAGCTTGTTCTGCAGCTCGGGTAGTCCGAGCGCGTGCCCTAGATGCCACGCCTTTGCAAACTCGAGCGTCATCTTGCTGCCGTCTGCGAGTTTTCCAAGCACGCATGTTGATGCAGGGTTCATCTTGTCCAGCAAAGTCCGGCTATCCAGATAGTCCACCACGATTTGGAAGAGCACAGGATCCACATCTGGGATTGCCGATCCATGATCTATCTCGCGCAGGAAAGGGCAAGCTCTCCGAACCACAGGTGGGAGGTGGATAAGCTGCGCACAGCCTGTTCGACCGACAGTGACATCCACGCCGCCCTCAATGGTACTGGCTTTATTTAGCCATTTTTCATACTCAAAGGGCTCAGATACGTACTTCGACGAGAGTGAGAGGGTTTCAGAATCTGGGGACGCGCTGAAAGCGTCGCGGAGAAACTCGAACATCTTGAGTGGTTGTGTGTCTTCCAAGAATGATGGAATAAGATTTTCATGTTGGAGAGGGGGCGCTTTTTTTAAGGAGATGAAGAAGATAGGCCGGCGTGAGCGACCATTGTGAAGGATCATGGTTGCTCGTCGTGAAAGTGACCCGCGTTGGCCTTAGGCACACAATGGAAGGTAGCTCATTGTGAAGGGCTTCTGTTCTGTTCACAGCGCTCGAACGACTCGGTCACAGGCTGGGTACGCAAACCCCTTGCCTTGACGGACTCGGTAAAACCTGTCGCCTTCCATCTTCCACGGCTTCTCAGAGAATTCCTGGTGCCGATAATAGCGGTAGGAGCACCTGATTCGATCTCGTAACCACTAGTATAGCTCAAGGACCTCTGACCCCTGTCGTCTCATTAGAAAACAGCCAAAATGCCACAGAAGGACTTTGAGCTGCTGCGGCACCTATGATGTAGCTAATTGCGGTCTGGCACTGTTCCAAGATTGGACCGCAGCCCTTGCGGGAGGTGGCTCCGCAACCGTCGCGACTATGGAAGTATCAACGACGGATTTATAAAAAGCAAAACAAAGTCGTATATAGTAACGGGAACACAGAGATGAATTATGCGGAACTGATGATTTCGATGATGGAAGGGGGAAGAGAAGCGGAGAGAAGAGCACAGACTGTGGCAGAAAGGCGCACAGGTCGGGGAGAAAAGCGCTAGTCCTAATGTGGCCTAGCCGAAGTTGGCGCGCCATCCCACGACTTAGGATTCGCGACTCCACCATCAATCAACACTAACCCATACCGCCTGACTTGCCTTCTCCATGACCTTGCTACGAAACCCGTCAGTATGGGTGAGACCGCTCTCATCCGGAGTCCGATGCGCTGGTAGTTCTACCCTCCGGCTATCCACAAGGCCCTTCCGCGCCCAGTCTCAGACCCGCGGCAAGCACACAAAAAATCCGCCGAATGCGCCATCTTCGCGACCACAATCACGACCATTCCCACAAGGACAGCGCGCGCCTGTGCGTCAGGAGAAACAGGATGTTGCCGAAGAAAAGATACCGGGCCAATTCCCTAAGGTGAAGGTCCGGTACCTGCGTCCTGCCGTCTATGCCATCTCGGTTTCATCTGGAATATTCATTTTCCTGGCCTACATGGAAGCTAGAGAAGAACTCAAACCGAAAGCCATCGAGAATGCGTTTCCGCAATGGCAGATCCAGAGGCGAGCCCCACCAACACCAACCGAAGTGGCGACGCGAGCGTGGGATGAGCTCACGCCAATATCGAAGCTGAGCTGGGGCATAATAGCGGCAAACGGCGCTGTTCATCTCACGAGCTTCGTGGCGCCCAGATACTGGCATATGCTTTGGCATACGCCGGCGGCCAATGCAAATTTCCAGCTTTTCACTTCCACCTGGGTGCATTCCGGACCGATGCATCTTCTTTTCAACATGTGGGCATGCCACAACTTCCTGCCTTCGACGGGATACTCGCGACTTTTCGAGGGCGACCCGTACCACACGCTCTCTTTCTACCTCTCTGCCGGCCTCATATCCGGTTACGCGCAGCATCTCACCACCATGTTCGCGCGCGCCAGAGCAGGCATCCCCGCGATCTTCATTCCGTCCGGAGGCGCCAGCGGGGCGCTCTTTGGCGTCTTTGCCGCTTTCTGCATGCAGTATCCGGACGCTGGAGTTGGCATCCTGTTTGTGCCATATTACATGGATGCGCAGTACTTCCTGCCTGCAATCATGCTCTTTGATTTTGTTGGCATGGTTCGCGGGTACTCATTCGTGAACTTCGGCCATGCTGTGAGTAATGCATACCTCTTGTGCAACTTCTTGCTAACACTTTCCAGGCGCATCTTGCTGGGGCTTCGATGGGAATCGTGTACTCATATTTCGACGGGAAGAATAGGATCTGGAAACCCCTGGTACGATTCTGGAAGCGCCGCTTGCAGAACCAGTCTTAGAGCGCGAAATCCGGTGGCCGGCTCGAGTGCTACGTGCTCCAGCAAACGCCCAAATGAATGTACGATTATGTTGTATTCTCACCAACAACTCAAATGAAACAATGAAATATTGGGGTAGCGAATCTTCAGGAGCGGTATACAACATTTACAAAAAGACACTCCTTTGAGCCCTAATCTCTGTTTGCCGAAACAATTCTGTTAATCAAAACAATAAACAGGCCCATTGAAGAGCATAATAACGCCTTCTTCCCCCGGGTGACATCCTACCAACAGCAGACTCCAATGGCTTACCCGGGACCCATCTCCGTCCTCGTCGGCCGCCGTACTGGCGAGCCAGCCCAGCAGCTCCAGATCAGCCCCCGCGCTCGCATCAACTGCCCTTTCTTCAAGAACCTTGCTTCTGGCTCTTCGTTGCCAACCACGCACCCCGATGCTCTGCGCGCCGTTCTACGCCACCTCGACGGCGACACCAACCTCGACCCCTTCCAACCCAGCAACGACGGCCTTCTTCTCTTCACCCGAACATGGGCGCTCGCAGGCAAACTGAATCTCCCCACCCTCCAAAACGCCCTCGTCGCCAAAATGACCGAGCACTACAAGCAAGCGCGCCGCGCCGACACCGCGTGCTATCCCGCCGACGGTGCCCTCGGAGCGGCGTTCGTCCATCTCGGAAACCAACTCAGTACTGGCAGTCCAGCGGAGAAGTTCCTAGTCTGGTTCGTCGGCCGCTTGGCTCGCGATATCCGCGATCTGGAGACCAGCTTGAGGAGCGGCAATTTCTCGAATAGGATCATCGAGGACGTCCTGCGTGTTGCGCGCGGCTTTGAGAGGGATGCTATTAGGCGGGGGGATGCTATGTTCAGAGTCGGCACTGCGCGGCCGGCGCGTTATGCGCTGCCTGAGATAGAGGTCCATACTTCGGCTCCGACAGGTATAGCTCTTGGGTGGCGTGGCGTACGTGACGAGTCTTCTATCTGCAGTGTTTCCAGCTCCGACTCATCCTCCTCTGACGACGACGAAATCCCCACTATAGACATTATACTGTGTCATCGTCCAACTCGTAGGGACTGGAACAGCCGCAAACGCTACGGCATGATCTTCTCTCGTCGCAGTGGGAGCCGTCGCAGCTGGAAATCGCGACCCCTTCCAACAACCTAGTGAAAGGTAATCTCCTCTCCAGCCGCAGCGTTCATTCATAAATGCAATGGGTTAACTTTCCCTAGTAATCCGCCGTCGCGAATCCATCACCATCGGGCCAAAGAACCCGCGATCAGCGACGTCGACCCGCCAGACAACGCGCCCGCTTTCCAGCCGCGAGCGAGGTGCCCGTTGGCGCGTCTTTTCAATTGGGGAGCTAGAAGAGATGACTGGACTGCGGATTGGAGGTACGGCGGAGAAGGAAATGAATGTCATGTAGCATGCTCAGATAAATCATGGATTTGTATTTATCCTCGCTCAACGCTCCACTCTACTCCACTCTACTCCACTCTACTCACCCCAACTAACGCCTACTAACTAACAACATCACATCACATTACACCCCCTGCCATCCCCATCCCCATCCCCAGCCCCGGCACCCTCAACCCACCTTCCCACCTCCTCCGCCTACGCGCCCTCCGTGCAAAATCCAACTCCACCCCCCCGCAGCAAATCCACAGAGTCCTTCGCGCTCCAGCCACACGGTCTAAACGCCTTCTACAAGCGTGACCTCATCGTCACCAAACGGCTTCGGAATGTACTCCGCCCCATCGGGCCCGCAGACCACCGGGCTGGGCAGGCCCTTGCAATTGCAACTGGCACTGGCATTGGAGCTGGAGCGGTTCAAGCGTAGCGCGCGTGCGCGGAGGAAGACGACGCCGCAGTAGCGCACGTGGGCGGGGGCCGTGCTGCTGTGGCGGACATTTTTTAGGTGAGCGTATGGTGTGGTGTGCGCAGCGCGTCCGGTCTACGCTAGGGGGATTTGCAGACCTTCCTCCCAGCGTACCACACCACACCACACGCTCAGCCGCCTTATACCCACCCCCAGCGTACACACACTCACGCAGTACCTAGGTACCCAGACACCCTCCCGTTCCGTTCCGTTCCGTTGGGAGCTGGGAGCGCCAAATCTAAATCCAAGCCCTGAAAATAATCCCCGAGAGCAATCCCCACATTCTCCACTCCACTCCACTCCGCACCGCACCGCACCGTGTGGCCAACCAGCCAAACCCGACCATTACAACTACAATTCCAATTCCAATTCCAACCCACCCGACCGCACGTGCGCGTGCGTGTGCTCGACACCACAACCCGCCAAACCCAAACCAAACCAACCCAAACCGCACCGAACCAAACCGCCTCAAACCCAAACCGAACCAAACCGTCACTACAATCCACCGGGAGAAACAATACCCTCGTCATTAAGCGTTTCCGCACTCCAACCATCCAGCCCTTCGTCAAGCATAAGTAGAAGAATAGAATTTTGTTTCGTCTCGATATGCCGGAGAGGGGGAGAAGATTTCCTTTCTGGCTAGCTGGACGGATGGACTGACTGACGGACTGGGATGTCGGGGGTATCTGGGGTATCTGGATATGTGGATATCTGGAGAAGAGAAGTGGGATTTGGGATTTGGAGGGTGGAGATGTTGGTGCGTAGATAGATGTGGGGAGGGTAAGGTGGTCCGGGGGTCGGAGCGCTGTGAGTGGGGAGCTAGCTGGATAGCTAGCTGTCGTTCACTGCGTTTGCTTGGCTAAGTATGGGAGAGGAGAGCTTGACTTGACTTGATTTTCTTTCGAGGTGAAGGGATAGTTGGGCTGAGGGGGACGGTTTTAGCGAGTTTTCTTTCATTGAATTGATATGAGACAGTCTTGTCTATGTATGTATCGCTTGTTTTTTGTGAACTTTGCTACGAAGAATATGAGCAAGGATGTGCATAGAACACATGTTGCGGGGCGGCTCTACATCTATGCCCCTAAGAAGATCAAGCGCCGCACTAATAGCTAGATACTATAGCGCAACATGCTCGCCGCCCAAACCCAAACCCGGCGACAGGTAAACACACTGCAGCATCCCAGCTCAATCCATGCCATTACCCATCGGACCCCCGCAATCGGAGCACTTCCTCGCTATCTCAACACCCTTGGACGGATTCCTAGCCAGCGCCATCATATCCAGGTCCTCGATCAGATTCGCCGCGATATCGCCAATCAGGGGCTCGCAGATAGTGCAATACCAGCGCGTAACCTTGTCGGCGCCCAAGCCCGTGACGCAAGCGCGGTGGAAGTATTTCTTCGGACAGCCGACGTAGCTGCACTCGACAATGTCCTTCGAGTCCAAGTCCTCGGGCAGGACAGCATAGCAGTAGCACATACGGGGCCCGGTACCTGCTTCAAATTCAAGAGCGAGCTGCCCAAGCTCCGTGCTCGAGAGCGATTGTCGAAGCCGCACATTCCGATTCCACAGCTCCTCGAACTGCGTCTCCTGCTGCATCAATGGTCCCTTCTCGTAACCCTGGAAGTAGTAGTCGAAATATTCGGTCACGAGACGCTCGGGGGTGCCCGCGGGTGGCGCGTTCTTACGGTCAATGCGCCGCTGGCTCGGTTCGATAAGGAACCAGCTGGCCATGTCATCGTCGATGAGCATGAGTCTACCCTTTGTCTGGGGGTGTGTCTCATACATATCGAGAAGCTTCTGTGCGCGGATGCGGTTGAATGGGCCACAGGTGTAGGCTTCTGGGCACGGGTAGACAAGGTAGCACTGGTCGAGAAAGGGGTCGCAGCAGCTGCAGCGTGGAGGATGGAAGGGACAGTCGGGGGTGGAGGTGACCTCGAAGATGCAGGAAGCATCACCCGAGCAGGATATCTGCGCAGTATAGGCCGGCGAGGACAGCGCATCCACGCGAAGGAAGCGGGTGTATTTCTTCCAGTCGGCGTGGCGGCTGTACGATATAACTGGGAACGGCGGGAGAGAGTCGGAAGTCGTTAGGTGAGGAGTCGTAGCTATCCTAGGGGATGATGCAGTCGGTGACCGGGATGTATCTGCTGCGGCGGAAGCCTTAGCCTCTTTAGCAACCTCGACTTTTGCGTAATTGTCCTGGATTAGGAGTTCCTCTTCTTCAGCATGACTCTCTAGCTCGAGCGTGCTGCTGGACTGTGTAATCCTAATTGGTTCAATAGCCACTCGTCCCTTGGCAGTTTCGACTTCGAATGTAAGAGTCCCATCCTCAGCCTCCAGCTCGCCTGCGGCTACAGGCCCCTTCTCAGCAGACCGCTTAGCCTTGCGCTTCACCTCACGCTCCTTCTTCTTGGCCTTCTTCTGAGAGACAGGAGGGTGACCAGTGTCAGCAGGCTCTGGAGTGACCTTTCTGTCTTTCACAGTCTCACTCGCGAGCAACTTGGGCCTCTTCGCCCAGACGCTCGCAGCGGGTGGCAAGGGTTGAGTGTCCGGCCTCTCTTCAGCGATTGGAGAACGAACGGCAAGATTCGGGTCTTTTCCCTCATAGTCCCAGCCATCATTATCCGAAATGAGGTGCTCGTACATGTTTCTCCCGGGTGACGGGTGGCGCATGCCATGGCTGAGAAGAGGCCTGGACCTATCTGGAGATCTGACGGGAAGCCTAGGGTGCCGTCTTGAAAGAACGGGAGAGCCTATACTCTTCGAGCTGGATTTCTCATTGATAATGAGCCTGAGCTGGGCGGGCTGCCTCTTCATGACACCCGTCGGCTTCCTTGGAATGCGGGACGGACTGTGACTGACGGTCACGACATCTTCGAGCTCGCCGTCGCTCGCGATCCTCTTGTGTCCTTTCCAGAGGTGCCTTAGATCCGGCGCAGCAGGAGTTGCTGGTAGCGGTGAGGCTATCACGTTCTCTCTCTCGTTCGCGACCTCGCACTCGAATGGGGACGCGCTACCAGAAGACTCGGTCCGAGATTCGGTTTGCACAATCTTCGCCCCCGTCTTCCAGTCCTTGTCCGTGTATCTCTCTTCCACGATGTCGAAACTCGCCCGATTCGTGTATCGCAGATAGGCCGCCCTCCGCATCCTGACTTCCAGCTCGTCTTTCTTTACTAGAACCTGGTCTTCGACGACGCGCTCCTTGAATTCGGCCACCAGGCCCTCAAAGTTCTTCAGGTCCCTACCCTGGAGCCCCCGGTTCCTGGCGTTGCGCTTCAGCAGCTCCGTGATACGTAGCGCCTCGAAAATGCGCTCCATTTCGCCTTCAAAGTTGACGTCTGCATCCGGGATGCGGGCAAACTCTTTGAGCACGCGGCGGGAGCCTGTGTTGTAGACCTGGGCATTGTAGCGGAGGTTCTTCTCGATCTCGTCGACTTCATCGGGGTTGGAGGGGCCTTCGGCGTCACCGTCGGCAGCAGACGCCGGGTGGAGGACGGAATCGATGTATTTGATCTCGTCCTGTGTGATGACTCTAGGCCTACTCGCTGCCCTGATCAACCTCTTCTGTTCCTTTCTCTCCTTCCGCTTAGCGGCTGCGCCACCCGAAATGGAGCTGCGCTCGTCCTCGTCCTCGTCCTCGGCGTCTTCTGACTCTCGTGTTCTCGGCCGGCCTCTCTCGGGCTCCGCCGTCGGGATAATCGGCCACTCCTCGCCACAACTCTCGTAGATGGCGCGGAGTCGCTCAGCGATGTCGACGTGGCGTTTGTGGTGAGCTTCGTCGGCGCCGAGGCACATGGCACACATGTGGGCGCGATTGCGCATGAACATGGCCTGATGGAAACGATGGCATGGCTCCGCGTGGATGCCAAAGCAGGACGACCTGGCGCCAGGGTGAGATAATGGGCGGTCGCAGAAGCCGCAGTGGTGTTCTAAAAATTAGCCAATGCTGTCGCTAGGTGTGGAAGTAGGCAGGCGGCAGTCCCGCCTACCCATCCTCTGCTCGCCACCTCCATCGGGGGATCTACTTACTCAAAGCTGGCGAATCTTCCCAGCGGAATAAAATACCGTGGCCCATAATGAATGACGTGAGAATTATAGAAAAGCGAGTGTGTTGTGATGCTGAAGGAGCAGAAGTTGTGCACTTGGGTTGAGGTGCTGGTGTATCTAGTTCTGTGCTCGCGAGGCGGTAACTTAATGACGTGGGCAGGAGCGAGGGTGAAGGGTTGTGCCTGCTGCGCGTGAAAACTTCTGGCGTGCTGTACAGGGACCATTATTTCTTCTCTTCTTTGCGCGCATGTTGCTTTCGTTTCACCTTTCACCCATTGCTCGCGTGCAGGCGTTTGGACTCGGGGCAAGCGTGCCAAGGGTAGCGAAAGGAAGGAGCGCCGAGCATTGTAGAAAGAGCGACCACGAAGACATCTGGGCTTAGAGTGCCTGCGGAACCCGTGGACTGCGTAAAATGGTCCACGTGATCTAGAAACAAAACACTCAACCAATGAGTTTCATTGAGAGCTAGTTGAAGTACTCCGGGACTCTGTAACGACTGATACTTCTCCAAGCAACCAATTTTATTCCTGCGTGTATTTCAATTTTACCGTGTCCAACGAGTGTCGGGGAGCTGGGTGCGCAAAAATTCTGACGCGAGCAACAGAAGGGACAGTTCAGTTTTTAGACGACGATGAAAAGCCGACTGAGTCGCGAGGACGCATTCAGTAAATGGCAACCTGTAGCGAGCGGTCGATTCGAAAGGGTGATGCATGCGCCTACGCGTCTTGGACGAGTCGAGCAGAAGCCCACACGTAGGGATAGCTGCGTTGATACCAATTGACGCTGTACGTCGCATGTCAGTACAAACGTCCCATTCCGCCCTGCCTTGAGCACTTACAATGTGTTCCGTCCCGCGATGCGTGGATGCGTGGCCCAAGAACCGCCCAGCGTTACATTGTGTTTTCCATCGAAGAAGTCGGCTAGCAAATGTTAGCTCCTGCGCCTCTCCACCGAGGAAGCGTGACATACCCGTGTAGCCCGGGTACGACTTCATGGCTTCAAATCCTTCGTGCTTCTCCAGTACAGTGCTGGTCCACTCCCAAACGCCACCCAGGTCAGACTGTCCGCAGAGCTTTCCACCCTTTTCTGCGACCGAGACCGGGTGCCAATGTTGGAATGCCACGTTCGCTCCTTCCAAGTCGAGAAAGAGGTCGCGCGGGCTGGGACCAGCGACTGCACCGGAGTTGCCGTTCAAGAAAGCGTGGGATGGTGGCGACTCGTCCACGCCATTGTTGATGAGGTGGCTAATCAATCAGTCAATGTCCGGCTGCATCTAGGTGACCAGACTTACCCATTCACGGCCGGGATCCTATTTCCGAGCGCCTTCGCGAAGTCTTGTGCTTTGTTATGCTCGACGTAGCTGTAGATGCTACGGGCCTCTTCCATAGTCGGGATCCGGCCTCCCATCCAGCGAGCGCAGCCAGCTAGCTCATCATAAGAGGCTACAACGGGCCAATTCCAAGCATAGCGGAGGGGCACTGCACCGTATACAGTTCGAACATACTTCCCTTCAGTGATGTTTTGACCAACACGGGCGGACCCATTAACATGGCCGTTCATGACGCTATCCCTCTTCCCAATGCCCCACTCCTTCATGGTGGAATAGGGCGCTTCGCACCAAGACGCAGGAATGGAAGTTTTCCCGGTTGTTGCGAGGTATTCTGCATACTCGCCATTGGTAATGGGGCGAGCCTTTGCGCGGAAGGCCTTGACATGCGAAGAGCGGGCCGGCTTTTCGTTGTCCCAGCCAAAGTATCGAGTCTCTCCATCCTCACTCTCTGGATCTTCCAATCCAATGTGGAGATTGGACTCTGGAACAGTGAACCATTCGTTTTCGACTGCCATGAGCTCTGACTCGCGAGCAAGCGCCTCGAAATCCGGTGTGACAGTACCGGGAGGAGGGAGGATCTTCTCGCTTTGGATCAGCATGTACAGGAGAGTCTCCAAATGCATGGCCTCGTGTTCGAATGCGAGCCACAAGGCGCGGGAAATGCGGCGACCGGTCTCGACCGCACCAGAAGTATAAAGACTCTTGACCTTCTCCCGAACTGCGCGTTGGAACTCCAAGATGGTATCTAGCGGCGGCCAAGCATCGGGAATCTCGCTATGGTCATGGCAAAGTTCAGGGTTCTCCACATCTGGGTCAATGCCACGCTCGAAGATCTGCCGGAAGTAAGCTGGTTCGGTTGCAGAGTCGCCAGTGGCACGAGTAATGTGGATATCGAGGAACGTCGGGATATGGCCGAGATAGAAGATGCACGCGTGCCGCAATTTGATGGGCTCAGACAGCAGCTCTTCCTCTGGAATCATCTTGCGAGTGACGGCGTCCCAGGAGGCCCAGAGCTGGCCCCATTCAGAGATGGATGGGGCAGGCTGTGAAGCGTAGTTCTCCGGTTTGGACGGAAAGAAGAATATGGGCTTGGAGACCAGGTGAAGGCCTGCAGAGAATTAGAAATTGACATCAGAAAATCAAGAAAGTGAGAAGGAAGAGAATGCGTACCATAGTCACCCTTGGAGTTGCTCCAAACTGAGTTCTCCATCAACCCAGCTTCCTGCCAGAGATGCTGAATCTCCTCGCGCGAGTATTTGTAGCTCTCTTCGATCCGGATCCGCTCGCCCTCTGCGATCGGGATGCTGTCGATCTCGACGTCTTTCTTGGGGGAGACAAAGGCGTGATGACGTCCGGCCATCTCATCATACTCGCCGATAGCTTCCCATTCGTTGGGCTTAAACACAGTCTTACCAATGATTCTGTTGGCGTGCTTGAGGCCATTCAAGGTGAACTCATGAGTGACGTTTTCCCTGTCGTTGTAGGCATGGAACACCCGATCGGGGTCCTTGCAAGAGTCGATACCGATCAACATGGTATCCCCAGGCTGGACGGCATCGCAGAACCCAGCCAGGAAAGGCGGGACTTCGTGGCGCTTGAAGTTCCCCAAGCTTGACCCCAGCCAAAGGATCGTCTTGGGCCTGGTGCTGATCTGGGAAGACTTCAGCCATTCCAGGGCATGATCGTAGGTTCCGTAGAGGCCAAAGCACTTCACATGCTTGTATCCTTCTGTAAAGTATTTAGCATTAGGACTGTCGATAATAGCGCCTTCACTAGCGCCAATATCTTGCAAGAGGCAAAAAGCACGATGGCCGTCGCAATCAAGACGAAATCCGCCCACAAAGAAAAGGAAGTTGGTCGACGTACCGGTTGGGATCTCAGCAAAAGTTCGTTTCAGCTCAGGCAGAGACAGATCCACAGCATAGTATTCGACATCCTTGCCAAGGCGTTCAATTGCCTGCAGGAGAATGTTGACTTTGCGCAAGTTGCTGGAGCTATGATCAGTATCGACGGGGGCGGTGCGATTCTGTATGATCCGGGCGGGCTCCTACCCGCTACCCAGTTCCACGACGACAGATCCGGGTCGAACTCTTTCCGCTATCTTATCCGCACAGGTCTCCAGCACTTCAATCTCGGCATTGGTGAGGTAGTATTGCTCCAGGTACGTAATCTTCTCAAAGAGCCGCAGTCCAGCTTCATCGTAAAGCAGAAGCGTGGGAAGAGTCTTTTCGCCGCGGTCCTCGGGCCTGAGGCCCTTCTTGATATCCTGCAAGATATCGTACTCGGCGGGGCCGACCCTGATATCGAAGATCTTGGTAGCTCCGGTAGAAGCCATGATCTTGTAAGGCGCCGGATCGAGTTCGAGAGTGGAGGCGGTCGCGGGTCCTGAACGAGCCCAGAAGATGGCCATCTCGTGCCGCACTGAATATGCAGGCTATATAGGCGACTAGACGAGAACGATGGCCACTATGCGCTTGTGAGGTGGAGTAGGTAACGAAGTGGAACCAGCGAGTTTGATGACGGATAGCTCCGTGGGCGGCCGTCAGTGACCAGGCACGAAGGCGTTAGTGCGGAGAAGGTAAATAAGGTCAAGTCCAGAAGGGCAAATCAAGCGACATAAAATAGTCACGGTTAGGTATGGTACGACGGAAGTGCTTATTTCTTGCAGCAATTGCAGGGTGATTCCTCATCAACCCCACACCCGAGAGCACCGCCGCTCGGCGCCCGCATAGGGCGAATGGCTGAGAAGGGAATAGCCGAACTCACTGCCCATGACGGCTTGAACGATGACGTTGGGTGAGGGCTGGTGTAGCGGGACCTCGGGACCGCTTTCGGCGAGCAGCGGAGCTGGCGGCGAACAAAGGCTGACAGGGTCGATCGCAAGGGAGCTATGCAAGGGCAAGACGTGCTGTGGCCAACAGGAGCCAGCCAGGCTCCCGCTCCGCTTGTCTCGAAGTTGTCGGCATAGCTGGCGCAGTGCGGGCGCTCGTGCAAACTGCGGGGCTCGATGGGCTGCAGAAACGATAGCGTCACGATTGCCTCAAGGCGTGACAAATGCAACTGCGCGAATTGCGGGCGCTTGGAGCGGAGCTGCAGTTCGTACGGTGCACAGTAGAGCGAGCTGTGCTGCAACGGGAGGGAGATTGAGGCGTGGCGGCTGCAGCGCGGGGTCCTGGAAGGGCGTCTTCGGCGGAGCTCCAGGGCGCCGGTTCGCGGGTCATCTGGAGAGCGAGACAGATCAAGATGGGGCTGCAAGATGCTCTGCGAGATCAGTAATAGAGCAGATTTCATGATAGCGGAATCAGTCGTGACTCCGCTAGGCAATCGCACGCGAACAGCCCTGGGGGGCATGATGGCTGACATGAGTGGTGTCGGCATTAGTAAGAAAGCTCGGCTTAAACGGGCTTAGCGTCTTTCAACTGGAGCAGGCGCGGAACAGCCGGAATTCCACCTGGGCAAGGTTCACAACACCACAGGCAACCATCTCAACGAACATTTCTTTTCCTCCGTCGACACGGCCACCCGTCTCGAGACGCATGCTGCCTGCCCGTTGCTTGTACCGCCTGGGCTCACTGGCTTGGCTCCCAACCACGCCGCCACGCATCAGGAATGCGATTCGGAACAACAAAATTTTGATTCATAATACACCCAGGATTGCTCTCAAGCACTTCTCTGCTGCCTAACCAAGTAATTATCTCGGATCCTAGGACGCTTTTCGTCGTCTCCCACATCTACAGTTTCCCCAATATAGTCAGCTGACTATCCGGACAGACCTCGGGACCGGCCTTCGTGCGTCTTGCGGTCTCAGGGACGGGGCTCCGAACTGTGAGATATCTCTTGCCTTGGCTGGCGCCTGATGCGCAGGCAATAGACGGCAGAGACCGTGGCTGTGACTTGAGTTGCTCTCGACTCTCGACGCAATCGGACCACCCAGGCCACTTTTGATGTGCCTCCACCGCCAGCCTTCGGCCTTTAACCCCTTCGCTGTCGAATTACGTCCTCCACTCGTTTACCTATCGACGTAAACGTGCGAAATCCCGCTCCTTGATGTCCGCACTCAGCTGGGGCTAGGTTCTGACCTGTTCTTGGGTTCGCCCTCAAGACGCGGGAGCTGGAATGCTACCCAACACTATCGGCCTCTCAACCAAGCCGTCGGGCGTATTGGAGCGACCGCCTCCCGGGGTAACGCCGAGGCGTGGCGGTTGTCGATATATGTAAATCACCGCTCACCTACGCAATAGGCGAGTTGCTTTCCTTTCAGCATCGACTGCTTTCAGTACAGGCTGCATTTCCCAACCACCACCCCGGCCGCATAAGTGTTCCACCAGCAACAAACAAAGGAGACGCCTCTCCGAAGGCACAGCTTTCTGCACGTTCCAGCAAAGTCACCCATGTATTCCTCGACGACCGGGCTCTTGCTCTTGGTCTTCCCGCCCAGGCCTTTTGGTGGGCTGTTGTTCCGTTTCTTTGTGTTGAGCGCTCTAGCAGAGTCATGTTTTTTTCCAAACCTCTTCCGCTCACTACTCGCAAACAATACCTCCGTATCAAGGTCTTGATTACAAGTGAGCACCTGCATCTCGTAGCTTGTTCAGAACAGCCAGCCCTCCCTGCCAAGTAAGCCATCTTTGTTACTGCCATATCCTAGGGCCTGCACGTACGTCGGGACAAAGAGCGATCCTCATATCGTGGCCGCTTTGGCACTTTCCCTTCAACCACTGCATCGGTCCTGATCAGGCTTGCCAGCCATGGCACGCGAGCGCTCATCTTCTCCGTTCCTTGGGCGCACCCTGGCCACGTGGAATTCTCAAAGAGCCTATGCTGGGAATGGACCGTCGAAGCTAAGCGCCCCGTCGACTTGGCATTATGCGTGACCCGCCTTAATATCAATATATCAAAGAATGAGCGCTGGAACTTACCGCAAGCACCGACCGGCTCCCCCGCGGTATGCGTACGCGGACTACGACGACAGTCCGTCCTTTGAGGTAGCCGACTCGAACCAGGTGTATTTCTTCGACACTTGCCGCAAGGGCCAACTTGAAGCGAGAGGATTCCGTTCGCGTTCATGCTCCTCAACATGGAGTCTGGAGTGCTGCCCATGGATCCTTACACCCCTCGTCGAATGTCTGGGTACTTCCACGCCTATGTTGAGAACACACAAGACATGTACGACTCCAGTGCCTGGATGCCAACCTTGGCTTCCCTCCACAGCCAAAAGGGATACCTAGAGGGGCTGCTATCCAAGACTGCGACCACCCTCAACGCGCTGCGAGACAGACAAACACGGAATGAGCGTGCCCTGAGCACGAATCCGACCCCGCGGTCGAAGAGAAAGAAGATACAGCAAAATAGGTGGAGAACAAACAAGACGATCCAGACGTGCGAAAACGAGGAGAAGGTCATTCTAGACTGCCTGCAAGTGTGCACGAGCAACATCCATACTCTAGAATCCATCATCAACCCCACTGATCTGTCTTCGACAGCGGCGACATACAGCTCTAGCAAGTCGTACAGCAAGTACGCCGACTCCGAATCGACCGATTTCGACTGGTACGGCTGGACCGACGATGCACCCATCTCCCCGTTCCAGAAAGAGCGCGAACGTTCATTGGTGGTTGATGAGATCCCACCGGAGGCTCGTTGGGACGAAATAGTATATGAGACCAAGATCACGAGAGAACTCAAGCGCCCACCTCCGCTACGTCCGTGCCTTCGTGCCCCTCGTGACGAGGATTCGCTCCCAGCGCCCCCAAATACTGCGCAGACGCAATTCCAGCATTCGTCGCTCAGCCCCGAGGCAGACGTCTTCGAGCCCAGCGTCACGCACACCCCATGCGATGGGGGATTGCCGAAGGAGCTAGATAAGCTCAGCCTCTCGGGCCTGTGGGCATCAAAGCGGATGCGGCTGATCCAGAAACGGCGCTTCTCGGATGCAGCAATCGGCCACCTCTTCCGCCGTCTTTCCAGCGGCGCTCGGCCCGAACTCTTGCAGAAGCGGACGCATGCGAGCTGGGCTGGGCCGAGCGTGCAGCCGCGCCACACGGATCCGCAGCCAGCGGGCAAGGGCAAGGGCAAGGGCAAGATGAAGAGGACAAAGTCGGTATGACTATAAGGCAGCTGGGAGGAGGTGAAGAAATGGCAATTGCCCCCTTTTCGCCTTGCACACAATTTGGACATCACAGCCAGCCTGAGTGCTCCAACGCTCGCTCTGGTCAGCTTGGGCAGGATGCCATGCCATGCTATGCTCTTCTCGTCGGTTTCGGAGAAATTCTCTCAGTTTGAGTTGTGCGTTGTCTGATCACATGCAAGCATAGATTTCGCTACGCCAGTTTAGACCCAGCTCTTCTGTCGATCTTCGTATACATGTAACCAGAGCCTTACCTAGAGGAGTGCAAATAGAGCGGACAGACGGATCGCCTTTTCCAAGGACATGTTGACGCAATGCGCTGTGGCATGGGGGAATAGATTGCAGTGTGTGGCAGGCAATGCTGCCGCAATGGCGGTTTCGTCAGTCACGTCATCTGCCATTCGCGGGGTTGCGCCTGGCCGATGACCGGGAGTTGTGCGTGCCCCACTATAGTCGCGCTAGTGCCTTCCCGTGCCTGTCGCCAGCCAACCTCGCTACACGCCAGCCGCCCGGCGCCTTCGAGAATTGCACGCTTTTCACGCCCTGTTCAACACCGTTGCCGGAGTTCAACACTCCATGGCCCTCCTCGGCGCCTCTCGCTACGTCCTTGTGTGCTTACCGCCCGCCCCTGACTGGCGCTGCCCCCACTGGCCAACGTCTCCACACAACCTCCACTCACCCATCGCGTACGGCGGAACTGCAGAGTGCGTGCATAGCGCCCTGGCACACGTCCTACGTTCGCCCTGAAAACTCGCCCGCTTCCCCTCCTCGAGCTGTGCGACGCCAATTGAACCCCCATCCATCGTCTCGCCCTCGTTGCACCATGGCCGACTCTGGCATTGAACTGAAGACCGCGGGTAGCCGGCTGCGAGAGCGCCCATCTGCCAAACCTCTCCACCTCCGCAACTCTGACGATGCTAAACAAAAAGTACTCGAATTGAACGAAGAGGAGGAGAAAGAGCACACCGATGACAGCGGGAGGCGCACATATGGCAGGACGCCCGATGGCACTGGTACGTTTCCTCGCGCTGCAGCATGAAGCGTGCAGAGGATCCACCACCACTATGAATAGCCCAGCCAGTCGCCCAACAATTCATGCTAATGCTAACTTTGATCCCCTGCAGTCTTCATCGTCCCGCAGACGCATGACATGGTCTCGCAGCTCCTCTCGCCCTCGCAGCCAAAGAACTTGTCCGACGTAGCAGTCCTCGCAGTCCTCGCCAGCTTGATATTCACGCTCTACGCACTGCCCAAAAGCGCCCGCATCCCAGTCTTCGCAGTCCTCTTTCTCTTCTGGCGCGCCGCCTACAATGCAGGCATCGGCTGGCTCCTCCATGTCCAGTCCCACCACAACCGCCTCGTCCTCTGGGCGAAGAACTCAGGCATCTTCGAGAAGCCTGAGACGGGCAAGAATCCGCACCCAACGCTGTACAAGCTGCTCAAGCGCGAGATGGAGACGAAGATCCCGAAAGACTACATTTTCGAAGAGGCACCGCTTGAGTACAACACATGGCTCCTCTTCAGGCGAGTTGTAGACCTGATCCTCATGTGTGACTTCGTCTCGTACTGCCTATTCGCCATCGCCTGCTTCAACCGCCCGGCCGAGAGCTGGCTACTGTGGGCGCTGCGCTGGACGACCGGCATCATTCTCTTCCTTTTCAATCTTTGGGTCAAGCTAGACGCCCACAGAGTAGTCAAAGACTTCGCTTGGTACTGGGGTGATTTCTTCTACCTCATTGATCAGCAACTTACGTTCGATGGAGTCTTCGAGATGGCTCCGCATCCAATGTATTCTGTTGGATACGCCGGCTACTACGGCATCTCCATGATGGCTGCCAGCTACAAAGTCTTGCTGATTTCCATCATCGCCCACGCCGCCCAATTTGCGTTCTTGTCGCTCGTTGAAAACCCGCATATCGAGAAGACGTACAATCCGCCACCACCCCGAAAGCGCCTAAATTCCCAGTCGATCGACCACGACGCAAGACCTACCTCCAGCCAGTCCGAAGTGACCTTTGCGGACGGCATGCCCACGCTCGATTCCGCCGGGCAGCCAGCGCAGACTCACAATATCGTCGGCCCACTAAACACCGATCTTCATCGGTCCATCGACGTGACGGTGATTCTCTTCGCATTCTACATGTTCTGTTTTGCGACCATGACGCCGAACACGTGGCCCGTGCGCACCTTCTTCTTAGTCAACGCCTTCGCCTGGCGCTTGTGGTACGCACTAGGCCTTGGATACATCTTAGACCGGCAATCGAAGAAGAAAAACTGGACTCGCCACTTCATCAAGCACGGAGACAGCAACGAGGAAGCCTGGCGCCAATGGAAATACCTCTACCATCTAAGCATGACCACGTGTCACACCAGCTTCATCGCAGCGGCATGGAAAATGTACGCGCTACCGCCCGATTTGTCCTATGGTCTCACTCTGCTGCGCCACGTCATCGGGCTTGCTCTGATAGCCTTGCAGATATGGACTGTCACTAGCATCTACGAGTCTCTAGGCGAATTTGGCTGGTTCTGCGGCGACTTCTTCTTCGAGCAATCCCCAAAGAACCTTACCTATTCGGGTATCTATCGTTTTCTGAATAACCCGGAACGTTTCCTCGGGCTGGCTGGAATCTGGGGGATTGCACTCATCGCGTGGAGTATACCGATCTTCTATCTCGCAGCGACGGCACACATCCTGAACCTTGCCTTCCTTCAGTTTGTGGAGCGTCCGCATATGCAGAAGCTCTATGGCCGAAACCTCCGGAAGACATCAGGCGTCAGCAAGACATTCAGACAAGCGCTGCCTAGCCCCGTCAGAAACTGGCAATCTGCAGCTGACGAATACCTCAACTCTACCGTAGAGTTTATTGAGGACCTTCTGGAGACCGCACGCCCGAAGTTTGCCGCTGGCGTGGACACATTTGTGAAAGACACCACAGCACTGTTCAAGTCCTACCCGGCACGCATTTCTATTACACGCCTTGCGCCAGACCTTGCTGGACTAGATCCGAGAGAATACAAGGTCGAGATCGATGGCACATGCTCACCTGCAATGGCACAGTACCAGAAGAACGGCGGCCGAGAGGGGGAGATGGCGAGGACGCCTGCTGCTCGCACGAGCGAATACAAGACTCTGGTGCTCGAATATGGCGCTCCAATCAAGGTCCGATGGCGAGCGCCGCTTAATCACAGCAAGAAGGACTGGATAGGTCTGTACATGGTCGCAGATAATAACTCTCGCGAGGTCACCCGCATTGGGTCCAACGGACGTTGGATAGCAACCAACAAGGGAGTTTACGACTCTATCCGAGCTGAGGAGGGTATTCTAGTTTCTGACAAACTTCTCCCCGCAAGCGCGCGTGATGACGGGGATACTGATTGCCTCACCGGCGAAATTGAGTTCCGCGGCGACAAGCTGTGGTGGACTACGGGCGTCTTTGAATTCCGTTACCATCACGACGGCAAGCACAACGTCATGGCTCTATCTCAAGCATTTGAGATCTGTGTTCCGAGATTTGACCAGGATGATGTCGAGCTTGATGCCAATGGCACAATCCATCGGCCTGTTGAGCAGGCGCTACTGCCCCTCATTCAGAACTGCTTCGATCGAGACCCCGAAATCGCACCCTCTACACCAGAAGAGCCCTTTGGGAGCTTGGTAGAAAGGGACGGCAAGTTTGCAAAGAGGGTAGTCTTTGCTGTACATCAGATGTGAGTCTCTTCAATTACTTGTACAATTCCATTGCTAATTAGACTAGGTTTGGCGTCGAATTCGCACCAGAAGTCGTACAAGCAGACGGCAACGTGCGGAACCTGGCATGGCGCATCTGCAATGCTAAGAAAGTTTTGGTATGTTCATTCCGCAACATCTTGCAATGGACACATTGCTGATCACCTCTCCAAGGCTCCATACAGCATGTCCCCCAGTCGGGGTAGGAACACGCCTACACTGAGATGATGGCTCAAGGCTGACTTCCCCTTCCTGTCAGGCATTCGCCATAGCTTGGCTCACGCTTTGGAGGAATGACCTGCTGACTTCAGCTTTGTTCTGCTTGCCCTTTGTTCCGTCCTGGCGGCTACCTACTTCCACGTCGGGCAGTCTTCGAGAAGGTTTCTACCGAAGCCACGCAGTCTTTTCATTGTTCTCTCCAAGCCAACCGAAAAGCGTTCTGGGCGTGTTACAAAAGGTTTCTATTAGTCCGCGTGGTGGATCACTCTGAGGCGCTCTCTCGCACTTGTGGCTGCAGTCTCCCTTTCCCTTCCAATCATATCTGCTTCGCAGCTTTGTCTTCCGTATTCACTAGGTGGTTCTACTAGTGGTACCGAAAAGTTTCGGACGCATGCTAATTCGCTGGAGTCGGACGGGGTGGCTACGTTTCGTTGATTTTGCATCTGTACACTTGCTTTGTTGGAGCAAAAGTGTAATCGGCTCAAAATTGCATGGGATGGAGGCCCGGAAAAATATTGTCGACAGCGTACATAGTAATCATCAGTTTCTTTAGATCCTCTGTGCTTTGCAGTGCTCCAGATTCTAGATGCTTCTGCTGGTTATTTGGCGGCATGCGATAGACCCACACCTAGTTAGCCCGTTCCCCTTGATTCCCCGATATCGCGCACAGAATGAATCAAAATCTACCCGCCGATATGCAGTCCTCCTGTACGAGTCTACAGCTATCTAGGCCCATCGAAAAATAACCATGGTCCCTCGTCTCTTATCAGATGGTAGGCAAGTCCGCTTGTGGTTAGCGCGCATGCAATAACCTCGGCCTGGACCGTGATTCTGGACGCCGACCACCGAACCTCGACGCATCTTCTGGAATCGCGCAGCCCCTCACGCCTTGGATATATTCACCCGTTCTTGCGAGAACTTGACTCGAGTTGTTATTTCCCCTTCGCACTTGTTTCTTGTAGGATTGTAATATCTTTGTGTTGTTGGCGGAGTGTGCAGAGAGTGTGCAGAGAGTACAGGTGCTCGAGCCAGTAGCGGATCCGCTCTGACGTCTGTCTGTCCGTCTGCTGCCATCTATCATCCACGCGCGCGACCGACCGACCGCCCCGCCATTCCGTTCGATTCGCAACCCTCGAGGCCAACGAGACAGTCAATTAATTAATTCCCTCGCTCGCACACCCAGCATGGGCAAATCCCCCTCCAAGACCAGCACGAAAGTGCTCCCGCTCATCCCCCTCGCACCCCCCCTCGCCGTGCTCCCCGGCACAACGCTCAAAATCCCCATCACCAACCGCTCGGACGTCGCCGCCATCCTTGCGAAGATCTACAGCATCAGTCCGACGGCGAAGCCCGACGCGGCCATCACCGTCGCCTGCGTGCCGCTGAATTCGCCCGCGGTGTCGCCGCGGGACGGGCGGCTGCTGATCGAGGATGGGAAGAAGAAGGCGGGCGTGGCGTACGAGAGCGACCCGGTGAATGCGACGAAGAAGGATGTGTTTGGCTACGCGTGCGTGGCCAAGGTTAGCGGGGTGCAGGGACGGCGGCAGGGCGATTTGAGTCTGGTGGTGGAGGGGCTGGAGCGGGTGAGGGTGAGGGACGTGGTGCAGGATAGGCCGTATTTTGAGGGCGAGCTGGAGGGGGTTGATGAGCTTGGTATGTTTGTTCTGCAGAGAAGGTCGGGGCGGAAAGCTGACGCTTGCAGTGGATGTCGCGAATCCTGAGTTCCTGGAGCAGTTCAATCTGCTGAAGCAGCTGTCGCGCGAACTCCTCGCTCTTGTGCGATTGTCCTCGATTCTGCCGCGGACGCCGACCGTTTCGCTTTCGCCGATCGTTGCGAGGAGGTTGGAGCTGTTTATCGCGAGGAAGGACCTCTCGGAAGCGGGGGCGCTGGCGGACTTTATGGCGAATGTGGTCGATTGTACACACGAAGAGAAGCTGCGCGTATTGGCGGCGATAGAGGTCAAGGAACGGGTTGATAGAGTCATTGAGGTTCTACAGCGGCAGATCAGCACCATACAGGGTAGCACACGGATGACGGTCACGACCACGTCCGTTCCAATGCCGACGGGCAGCTTCGATATCGACCAGCTACGGCGATTACAACAGGAAGCGCTGCAGAGAAGGAACAAGATGGGTGCTCCGCCCGGCATGCCCGGCTTCCCGGGCGGGTTCCCTGGCGGAGGAGCGAACGTTGGCGAAGAGGAGTCGAATGAGATCGATGAGCTCAAGAAGAGGTTACAGGACGCTAAGCTGTCGCCGGAGGCGGATAAAGTGGCACAGAGGGAGCTGCAGAGGCTGCAGAGGATGAACCCGGCGCAAGCGGAGTACCAGGTCTGCAGGAATTACCTCGAGAACCTGGCTGAGATCCCGTGGACGAAGACGACGTTCGATCACCTGGACGCGAAGACGCTGATCAAAGCGAAGAAGCAGCTTGATGATGACCACTACGGCTTGGACAAGATCAAGAAGAGGTTGCTGGAGTATCTCGCTGTGCTGAAGCTTAAGGAGCAGGCGAATAAGAGCATCGACGAGCAGATCAGAGCGCTTGCGGAAGCGGCGCATCTGAAGGACGAGAAGGAGGCCAAGGAGGATGAAGAACAAGAAGAACCGCAGGAGAAACCTAGCAGGGAACCTACCGAGGAAGAGCTTCGGTTGATAGAGAAGAAGCGCATGGTCGACAAGTCTCCCATCCTGCTGCTCGTGGGTCCTCCGGGAACAGGGAAGACGTCGCTCGCGAAGTCGATTGCCACTGCTCTCGGTCGCAAGTTCCACCGCATCTCGCTCGGAGGTGTGCGCGATGAGGCTGAGATTCGTGGTCATCGGAGAACGTATGTCGCTGCCATGCCTGGTCTCATCGTCAATGGGCTCAAGAAGGTCGGCGTCGCGAACCCCGTCTTCCTGCTCGACGAGATCGACAAGCTCGGCGTGTCGAATTACAACGGTGACCCGAGCGCAGCTATGCTGGAGGTCCTAGATCCGGAGCAGAACCACACGTTCACAGACCACTACGTGAACATCCCGATCGACCTCTCCAAGGTGCTGTTCATCGCCACGGCAAACTCTCTCGACACGATTCCACCTCCGCTGCTAGACCGCATGGAAATGATCCAGCTTTCCGGCTACACTACGCTCGAGAAGAGACACATTGCCGAACGGCACCTAATACCCAAGCAAATCACCACAAACGGTCTACACGACGAGAACCTCAACATTTCCACCGACGTCCTCGACAAGATCATCACCTCGTACACGCGCGAATCCGGCGTGCGCAACCTCGAGCGCGAAATCGGCTCCGTATGCCGCTCCAAAGCCGTCGAATACGCCACCGCAAAAGACACCGACACCCTCGCTGCCTACAATCCCGTCGTCACCCTAGACGACCTCGACGCCATCCTCGGCATCGAGAAGTTCGCAGAGGAGCTCACAGAGCAGCACTCGCGTCCCGGCGTCGTCACGGGCCTCGTCGCGTACTCAACGGGCGGCCAGGGCTCTATCCTGTTCATCGAGATCGCAGACATGCCGGGCTCGGGCCGCGTGCAGCTCACGGGGAAGCTGGGCGACGTGCTAAAGGAGAGCGTCGAGGTGGCGCTGACGTGGGTGAAGGCCCACGCGTTCGAGCTCGGCCTGAGCGCCAGCGAAGACGAGGACATTATGAAGAACCGCTCCATCCACGTGCACTGCCCCAGCGGCGCGATCCCGAAAGACGGGCCCTCGGCCGGGCTCGCGCACACCATCGCGCTCATCTCGCTCTTCAGCGGCAAGCCCGTGCCGCCGACGCTGGCCATGACGGGCGAGGTCAGTCTGCGCGGGCGCGTGCTGCCCGTCGGCGGCATCAAGGAGAAGCTGATCGGCGCGCTGAGGGCCGGCGTCGAGCGCGTGCTGCTGCCTGAGGGGAATCGCAAGGATGTGAGGGATTTGCCCGAGGAGGTGGTCAGGGGTGTTAAGATTGAGTTTGTCGGCTGGGTTTGGGAGGCCCTGGGGGGTGTGTGGCCGGAGAGGTGGGACGGTGGGGTTAGGGGCGTGGAGAGTAGGCTGTAGGCTGTAGGCTGTAGGGGAGTGTGGGTGGTTGGTGGGCGGGGGGAGGATAAGAGTGGAGGGAGGGAGGGGTTGCTTAAGATGCATTAGTTTTTGTTTTGTATATTTAGCGTTTTTTGTATCTATGCATCGCGTTTCGTCTTCTCTTCTCCCTTCTCCCTTCTCAATCCTCTCTCTCAGTTTTACACTCTCCTTCATTCCTTCCTTCCTTCCTTGCCGTATCCCCCTATGCCCGTCCTCCATCCCATCCCATCTGAAGCCCCTTCCGCCCTGCCCTGCCGCTTTTCTCGCATATATAAACCCCTCTCCTCTTCCCCTCTAGCGTCTCTTTCTTTTCTCCTCACACATTTCTCTAGTTGGAACTTCACACACTAAAACTACACGACGATCCGCCCATGTCTCCTGGCCTCTAAATAGTGTATACTAACAAAATTATGGTGCGGCGCGTGGGAGGGGGGGAGGGAGGGAACTAAAATTGCGCTTGTGGAGGGGCGTGGGGAGGATGATGGGTGATGGGTGATGGGTGGTGCGGGAGTGTAGTGTAGTGTGAGAAGGAGGGAGGATGGGTGGGTGGGTGGGTGCGATGGACTGCTGTTGGAAAAGCGGGGCGTGGTTTTAAGTGAGAGAGGGAGAGGGAGGAAGAACAGCATAGAGTACAGAGGAGCTGATGCGAAGCAAAGTCCGCCCCTTCCGCCATTCTGTTTCCTAGGTGGGTATATAAACCCCCCCTTCCCTCTTCTCTCTTTCCCCTCACACCTCTCGCCAGTTGCGACTTCACACACTAAAACTCCACGACGACCCGCCCATGTCTCCTGGCCTCTAAATAGTGTATACTAACAAATTATGGTGTGGCGTGTGGGAAGGAGAGAGAGTAGGGTTCGGGTTAGATGACGGGTCTCGCTGTTGCTGTTGCTGAACTCTGGGATGTTGGACGCTATGTTTCGGTGTTGGGAATGCGGAAAGGGAGGGGGAGAGGGAGTATAGCAGAGAGTGCAGGGGCTGATATGGTATGATATGCGAAGGAAAGTCGCTTCTTGGGTATATAAACCTCTAACGCCTGTGACTTTTCTTTTCTTTGCATGCGTCCCTCTGGTGGGTACTTTACTAAAATTGCTCAAAAAACAATTAATGTCTGCCGGCGTCTAAAACCGTAGCATCCGCAAGACTATGGTGCGGCGCGTGGGACGGGGGCGGGGAGGGTGGATGGGAGTCCTGGGATTAAAAGAGAGAGTGTGTGTGTGTGTGCAATATGTAGAGAGTCGATACGATACGATATACGAAGTCCGTTCCCCTGCGCCGTTCCGTTCCGTGTCTTGGGCCGGTTAGGTGGGTATATAAACCCGCTTTTTCTGAGAAAGACGCTTCTTTACACGCCTCTGCAGTCTGCCTTGAATGCGTTAAAATCGCGAGGTTGGAATTCCATGTCGCATGCGCCGGTGTGAGGGGGAGAGATGATGGATGAGATGGATGAAATGAATGATGTACGGACGGCATGGTCCTGCGCGGTCGCCTCGCCGCTGGAGGTCCTGGGGGGAGAACAGAACTGAAAACGCGCTCGTGGAGCGTGGCGGACTGCTGTTGTGTTGGGAAGGGAAGGGGAATGGGGAGCGGTCTGGTTGGCGGCAGAAGCGTACAGGACGGCGAATCTTGCTTAGAATAGTTTAGAGAACCGGGTCAGGCGCAGTGGCTGGGGCAATGGCGGGGGTATATAAACCCATCCCGTTCTCTTTCGCCCTTGCTCATTGATTACCCTTCTCCTTCTCTCCTCATGCGCCCGTCTTGCGGGGTGCAGGTGCACAAAAAAGATAGACAAAGCAATCGATGTCTCTTTCTCTAAAAACGAAGGATCCCAGGAGCCATGGCGCGGAGTGAGGTTCGATAAGGCGAATGCGAACTGCAGTCATGTGCCGGCGCTTCTTCCTCCGGTCCAAAGACATATTCCAAGCCAGCCAGCATGTCGTCTAGAGCTTCGGAATTTCAAAGGCGCACCAAAGTTGATATGGGGAGGGAGATGTCCCTTCTGTATTCGTTCGACTCTTACGCTACGCGTTTCTTCTGGAACCTAGTTTACTTTCTTCCTTCCTCCGCTTAGAGGGGGCGGCGTGGGTATATAAACCCTTCATCTTCGACTCTTCTGCTTCTTTCCTCTTTACTGCATTCTCCCGCCTGCCTCGGTACTAAAATATCAACCGCAATAGTAATGCTCCGCGTCCCTCTAAAACTCCTCAAAGAGGATTTCCATGGTCCGGTGCATGGAACCGGAATCCTCAACTGCGAAGGCGCATGGCGTGGTATGGTGTCTAAAATTCGCCCAAGAACACGCGATGACTCGGGGTTTGCGTGTGGAGACTGGAAGGGGGCTGGAAAGGGGATGTTGATCAGTCATGGGGAATGGGAGGTGGGAAGATCTTCGCCGCCGCCACTCATTCCGACGTTCGTCCCGCGCTCTCCTGAACGTCATATCGCCTGCTGAGAAGGCGTGTATAAATCTCTTCCTACTTTCGCGCCTCGTCTTCTTCTACACTACGCTCAGGCTCGTTTTCTCGAAAACTTGGCTATGATCCGCTACATGCGCCTCGCCCTCTAAAGCGCAAGGCACGCGCCCCTGATGTGTTCTGTTCTCTGCGGGCTTTAAAAAAAACACGCACTGCAGCGATAGGACGGGGTTCGAAAAATAAAGAAGACAACCACGTATTATGCGCCAGTGTGTGTGCTCGTGGGGAGTAAAAATTGATTGTGGAAACTTCCCATGCGTGTGTGGATTTTAGAGGATGATGATCGGAGGCTATGTGGGCGCCCGTGGAGTAAGAGTTGAGTTGGCTTGGCTTGCTGGGATCTGGGACATGTGGTTGGGGAGTATATAAAGCTGCTACTGCACTTTGTGGACGTTTTACTTCTTCTCCCTCGCACACGCTGGGAGTTCGAGGGTCAGCAAAATCCCCAAGCATTCGAATGCATGCTCTGCTTGCCTAAAGGCGGCTCATCTCCGCATCATGGCCTTGGCCGGACTCGAAACAGACGCCTCCTATCACGCTACGAAGCCCGAGATTCAACGACAAGCGCACGATGTACGGCACCCTGCTGCAGACCAAAACTCCGAGACCAGCACCTCATGCGGAAAGCCGTCGCCCAAATAAAAAAAGTCCGATCTAGGGAATCCCCGGCTTACAGCCTTAGCAAGAAAGTCCCGCCGGCTTTTCTACTCTTAGAGAGCTGAGCCATCTCTGCATGTGGCTCGCTCGATTCAATTTGAGTTTCTCACACTCTATGCGAGCCTTCACCTATCTAGACCTAGGCCGTCATAACGACGGGTACATAAGTCTTTGCTTACCTTGAGTCTCCTCTCTCTGCACAGCTTCCCAGGATCACTGGATTAAAATGAATGAGGATGAGAATATATGTTTCTCCCTCTCCCAAAATGAGATAAACGCATTCGACATGTGCAATCTTGGCCGGAAGGACTAAAACTGGGATTCCGAAGAAATATGAGTGCTTGAATCTCAATCGCGAAGCCTCAATGTGGTGGAAGGCGGGGACATTGATGAAGCTCTTATGGCTGCATGAGTGTGGATTTTCTTTCTTCCCTCCGCACAGCTTCCCAGGATAACTGGACTAAACCTCGTAAGGATGGGAGAAATGTTTCTCCCTCACAAATTCCGCTAGACGCGTCCCACATGTGCTTCCTTAGCTAGAGGGAGGGACTAAAACCCTAAGCCTCTACACCACATGAGTGTCGGAACCTCGACCGCGACGGCTATCATGTGTTAGAGGACAGGAGTGCCGAAAGAAACCTGTCATCGCCCTATGCGTGCGGGAATTTTCGAAGGCCATCGCTGAAGCTATGAGCCCCGGGGATCGCACAGAACCTTCCACTGGTATTTCGCCTACATAATGCTGCTCGCTCACGACCTGGACCCCGTTCTCCCACGCGCCGCGGATATATAAGCCAACTAGACACCACCTATCCTTTTCTCTCCCTTCTTCACGCAGCTTGGCCATCTTCCACTAAAATCTATCCAGACCCATGTCCATATCTCCGGCTGTCCAAAATGCGGGCACGGAGAATGTCATGTGCTGCTCGTGCTGCGGACCTAAAAGACGGCCTTGTGGCACCTCATGTAATACGAAATTGGGAGGTCCTAGTCCCCATGTGTTCGGCCTGGCGGAGAACCAAGGTAAAGGCTAGAAGAGGAATGGGTTGGAGCTTTGGGAGCTGAAGGAGGGGATATTGCCTGCTGTGCTGTGGAGGAACCAACTTACGCGAAACATGACCTAACATCATCAGCATGTTGCATCTGCTTGGCCAATGGTACCCGCTCTCCCAAAACCTATGGCGAAGCTATCAATGGCTTTCGGAAGTCTCCCAGTCACGTTCGGGCAGAAGAATGTCTCTCCGTCTCTTCTTCAAATCGTCCCTTCTCTTCCAACATCTTCAACCGGACTACGAGTTCTGGATCTGGCGTATATAAACTCCTCCAAACCAGACTGCCGGTCTCTCCGCAATGCATTCAGTGCTCGAGTCCTCTAAAATCGAGTCGAATGCGAGATATGTTCTTCTCGCTCTAAAATCTGCTACGGAACAGTGGTATGCGTCCGCTTGCGGAAGAGAAACTTACCGTTCGAAAGAGGCCCATGAGAACGAGAGTCTTGGGTCTCGGTGTCCATCAAGTGGGGCACAAGAGGTCCAAAAAGGGAAGAAGCACCTTCTGATGTGCTGAGCTTTCGTGCGGGTGAAACCAAGTAGATAGAAAGAATACTGCGCAAGGGAATGGTGGCGGGACCCTGAAACTTCCGGATACACATCGCAATATCCAAGGACCGAACCGACAAATCATTAAAAAAAATGGAGAAAAGGCCAGCCAGTCCGGCTCCGAGTCTTCAAAATCGAGTGTCGCATTCAACGTTACCCGATCATCAGCTCATCACGCTGAATCATGCGATTATAAATCGCCGGGCTCGTTTTCCTCTTCGCGGCACACGTTCTCTTCACACCTCTGTTACTAAAAGAAAATCCATGTTTGTGGGGCGCCAAAAAAAAACAAGCCCTGAGAACGCCATGTGGTTGTGCGGCCCGTGGGAACTAAAAGAATGTCAACAACCGTTACATGATGTTGGAAGAAAGTTGCCGTCAATGGGCGATAGCCGCGAGAAATTCTGGACTGGAGAAGACATTTTAAACAAAGGATACATGCGGTAGATGTTAAAAGATGTGTGGAAATGCTATCATGAAATAGAGGCTTTGTGGAAGGGCGTCGCGCGTCGTTGTGCGAGCACTCACGGTGAGGGGTTTAATAATGCTCTTCACTTTGGCTGATGCCTTGTTCAGATTCCTCTTATTCCAGTCTACTGAAAGGCGGCGGAGTCTAGTTCATAGCCTTCGCGGGTTTGGGAATTGTACAAAACATGCTGGAAATATTGAAGTCGTATTAAATCTGACTGAGCAAAGGAGGATTTCGCATTCCGCATGTGTTTAACCATGCCATGGCCTTCTGCGAGCTCAAACGGCTGAAGAATGGGCTTATGGTTGTTGACCGGCGGAGAGATCAAGCGGTGACGATAGATCCGGGGTTGAGCGAAAGAGCCAACCATGGAAGCCGTAGCCAATAAATATCGCCAATCCCCGCCGTTTCCGTCCGGAGCTATGAAATGATCCATCGAGAAAAGTGAGATAGTCGAACAAAGTTAAGTCCAGCCTCCACTGTTCCAGGCTCGAAAGTAGTGTCAGCCGTGATATTATGAAGACTCATGTCATCGAAGTAAAGAAGCCGCCCTGCAAAAGGATACCATTCTGTAGTCTATCATCTCCGCGCCGTACTACTGCGCTGTTTCTCCTGGCCTAGATGCCATCCTTAACCCAAGACTTTGCGTACTCCACCCAAGCCTTGTCCGTGCCGATTTTGTAATTCCGTATAGTAGTATAGTGCGTAGCAGCCCGCTTAAATTCAGTACCGATACTAGACACATTTGGAAAGAACCTGAAGTTTGGAACACTGGATTTTTGAAAATCCAGCCGGCGGATGTGCATCGGGTCACTCCATGCGCCGAGCTGATCGACCAGTAAGTAATACAAGTATTGGTTGGGAATATTGAGACTCTTTCCCCGAAGGCAGTCGCTCAGGAAAGCGCCTATATCCATGAACCTTTCGATGGCAAGTGGTGTGATGTATACAGCTGCCTGATTGGAGTCGTAGTATCCGCCGAGCCGCCATATCTCCCATATGTACTTGACAGTAACACGCGGGTTCTGTTTGCAGAACCACATGACCGGCAAGAGTGCCCTGAAAGGTTCGGGAAGGATGTCATTGGGGTCCGATGAAGAAAGGATGACAGTTGTCAGCATCGCAGCCACGGAAGGTGAACTCGCTTCTAGGAAAACGCTGAAGCTGTTTGCAGGCTCCCGGAATCGGAATGTGACCGTGTTGAACTTGAGTTCCAGTCCAGCAGTCTCAGCGTATAGCTTTCCGCACACGTATTTCAACCTGTTGAGCTCGATGCCATTTGCGCTTGTAAATGTCCGCTTCCGTTCCCCATAGATGGACAAGTGCGTCACATATTGCAGCCCGCAGGGTGAGGTATCGGTGAGAGCATATTCGTAGATGCGGTTCAGTAGTTCGCCTGGCAGCTGTAACAAACGTGACTTCTGGTTCTTGGCGACGGCTTGCGCAGTTGATCCACGCGCATTATTAACGACCCAGCTCGGCTCATTGTTGCTGTACCGGAAGGACATCGTTTGAGAATTATGTGTCGGCGCGTCCGTTGTGACTTGCGGTTGTGGGGGTTGTGGATTCGCCATGGGGCGTAGAAACGTATAGTTGGTAGAGGGGTTCTCGAGCAATGAAGTAGAACGGTCGCGCAGCGAAGGCGAAAAATATATGAGAGGTCCTAGGGCCCGTTACACAAGAATACACCACGCGATATGGACCCACAAAGCAATAAGATGCTGCTCGATCGAATATTGTGCAAGATGTGGTGGACTTGGAGCGGTGAGGGCAATACCTCCTACGGTTACGTATGCTAATTGGTGTCGCAGCAGGAAAGAGACTCCGTTTTATACCTGTGGGCCTCGCGCGCAGCGTTTATAGCTGTCCGCCCTTACCGCCCTTTTGCTAGTGTTGTTTGCGCCCTTTTCGATATCTATTGTCGTTGTTGAGGAGCTTTCTGGGGCCCCTTTTTCGTTAGCAGCTTCGTGCTATAGTTTGCGGTAGGCTACGCCCTTATCCGCGCCCGAACTGTTCTTTTCTGTCGATTTATGCTACCTGCCCGTGGTTCTGTGACACCCCGTTCCCTTCTCTTAATTTTAGCGTCTTTTGAGTCCTTTTGTGCGTAGGCGTAGTCAGCATAACCTCTATAGGTTGGTGACTTAAAACGAGAGAAATCAATCAATCAATCAAGCAATGGGATGGCGGGAAGTTACTTCACAACGTGGTGAAAGCGAGGGGAACAGCGACTAAATGAGACATGAATGGAACTGCAATGTCCACACACTTCCTAGCACACCCGCATTCTGGTATAAGTCTGCTGAATGAGTGCATAATCTGTCGACAATGCACTGTTCACAGCTAGAAGAGACACAATGGTAGAGATTGTCGAATCTTCTCCTTCTCTTAATATCATAGCTTCTAGGAAGGAGCGGTGACTAAACTAGCCATCATGTCTGGGCCTCGCAGATGGGTTCTCGGCTTCGGAGGAGCGTCCTGGAGCTTCAGATGAGAAAGGGGTACAAGAAGCGCCTTGGGTTTGCGCGTTTAAAAGTGTCTACAAGTTGCGAAGAAGAGAGTACAAAAGAACCGAAAACTGGATCAATGCCAAGATCGTATATAGGACCATGATCGCGCGAGGTGAGACGCACTGAGAAACCTCGACCCTGGAGCGCACTAGCTCTGTCTCACCCCGAAACCACCGTTAATGATAACATGAGCATTAGTCAAATCCACCGGGATCTATGGGATTCACATCGTCGTCGTACAGCTCAGCTATGACACGTAGTCGGATGCAACCCGAGATGTGGTCATGAGAGCAGGCGTTAGGACCATTCTGTTATTACCCCGTTTCTCTCGTCTCAGTTCCTCTGGTCTAGGATTCCACTCCTCAAGCCTCTAGATGCCCTCCTCACCCCACTTCTTCGCATATTCCACCCAAAGCCTCATGATATCCTCCTCAAGGTCAAAGATTATTGCGTCGCGACGGACCCCATTCGCAAATCCTGGATCGAGATATAGATCTCCCGGCCAGAATTTGAAGTTTGGAGCCTGCAAGCCCTCTAGTTTCTTCTCATCTGTTGCTGCTCTCCAATCCCGCGCCGCCTCCCATGTCTCTCTGTCTGAAGGCGGCAGAAGAAAGTCCAGATCTTGGCCGCGAAAGGCCTTCGTGAGATGGACACCCGCCTCAATAAATTCCATCGCGAATATGAATGGTCTTCCAGAATTAGGGGGTTCGCAGCAGGGGCTATATTCCCAGGCCCCGTACGTGTACTTGACCGTGGCCTGAGGATTGCGTCGGCAAAAGTCCGCAATTGGAAGTAGCGTGTCGATGTTTTCCTGCAAAACAGAGATGCAGTGCGAATAATCCCCAAGCCTCAGAACGACTGTCCTTATCCACGCAGCTTTGGATGGGGAGCAAATTGCGAGAAAGTCCTTGAACATTCGAGCAGGACATTCGCTATCGGAGAACCTCAGCGAATTGAATTTGATCTCCAGTCCGGCTGTTTCCGCATACAGCTTCCGGCAGACGTATTTGATCTTAGTGATTTCTTTGTCTCGCATACCCTCGAACCGAGGCTTCAACCAAGGCTTCGATATGCATGTCCCACCGACGAATTGTTCAGAGTACTGGAGACCGAGGGGTGACGGATCAGTGAGGACGTACTCATATATGCGATTACGCAGTTCGCCAGGAAGTTGAAGGAGGCGGGAAGATGAGTTCTTGGAATTAAGTGGGGCGCCGGGATCCCGCCATGTCGCGGCGTCGTCGGGAGCTTGTGGGGGTATGACTTGAAAGCTCCAGACCGTACAGCGCTTAGTGTACTTGCTCACCGTGTAAGCGGTCTGTGATTGTATTTGAGACTTCTTAGGTCGAGAGCTCAAGCGCGGCTTCGCAGTTACTCGAGGCATATGCGAGGGAGTCGAGTCTGACGTGGTGTAGTGAAGTTCGCGATTGTGAGAGAGGTTACGAGTAGATGAAGTAAGTTGAAAGGCCGATTAGGCAGATAGACATATTAAAAGAAAAGAACCACGACGAGCACGCACCTACAGCCAAGCATGGGTCGGAAGCGTACGCGAATAGAGGATCAAACAATTCACAAAATGCGTGGCACCATCGCGAAAGACAGGACTAACGTCTTCGAGAGGTTTGCCTAGGTAGTGACAGTCTCCGCCAACTGAACACAAACGAGAGTTAAATGATCACTTCCCATAACTTTCCCGAATAGTGCAGCACCAAGCGCTTCGTCAAACCTCACTGCTCTCAACCGGCCCCCTCTTCGCTGCGTCCTTTCCGAACGTATATTCTCCCTCCGGAAGCGCGTTCAGCTTATCGTCTTGCTCATCCAGCGACCTGAAATTCCACCAGAAGCCCATACCTCCAACAAAAGTGATGATAGCAATCGTCGTATACAGCCACACCAGCAACGGATCGTCGGCTAGAGGTACGAAGGCTTGTGCAACAGCCGACGAGAACGCGTGGGTAAACCAAAACACTCCCGTAACGAGAGATCTCATATTCTTCGGCGCCTTCGTGTACGCGTACTCAAGGCCGGTGATGGAGGCGAAGATCTCGGAGAAAGCGATGAGAACATAGGCGGGTGTCTGCACCCAAACCGAGAGCTCGGGCGGCGTTTCGCAGGAGCTGGCTGACGTCCCGCAGGGCGACTTTTCGTAGATGAAGTGCTGGATGGCGGCCGCGACGATCATAGAAAGACACGCGCAGACGAAACCGGCGTTGACCTTCTTCAGCGGAGTAAAGTGGAAGCCCATGCGAGCAATTGCAGGATAGATGAACTTGTCGAAGACCGGAATAAAGATGATCAGGGTGAAGGGGTTGAGGTTGTGGACCACGTCATTCGGAACGCCATTTAGCTTCATGGTCGCTGCTTGACTGACCAGGTTGCTCGTCATTTGTCCATATGGAAGCCAGAAGATTGGATACCAGAGGAAGACGTAGCAAGCCTTGAAGCCACGACGGACTTCGTCAACCCATGCATCGTCGAAGGTCATCCAGGACGGTTTGGTGGACATATTGCTGGGCTTGACCACGTCCCACTTATCCGCGGCCTTGAGATTGTTCCACGTTTTCACTGGGTTGAGAGACCATCGCCCCTTCATTGCCAGGCCATAGAGTCTTGAAGCCTTGACCAAGACGTCTCCGCTTGGCGGCCTTCGCACATAGTGTTTACGGCAGACGAGCATGAGGATAGGGCAGAGGACGAATAAAATTGTCGGCAGAGTGAATGAGAGCCAGAACCCAACATACTTCTCCGCATACACCATACTAATCTGGCCGATCAGTGCCCCGACATTGATCAACTGGTAGTAGCGGAGATAGACGCGTGAGATGGTTAGGCCCGGATCGACAATAACGCGCTCACCGCTTGGTTCGGTCCGGATGAGTGGCCTTGGGTGTTCGGCTTCATACTGTTCGGCGATCAAAGGCGAAATGTTGCATTTGAAGAAGCCAACACCAGTGCCGAACAGAATCAGGCCAAGGATAAACGAAGCGAGAGCGCCATGCGGGTTTTGGATGACTGCTGGAATGGCGGCAATGATGATGAGGATATGGCCGACAGTTGCGATCACGATTGCGACATTGATCGTCTTGAAGCGACCCCAGTATTCGTCGGCGAGCCATCCACCTGGTACAGCCAGTCAGCACGCTTGATACGAACCAGAGCTAGAGTCGCTTCGCGGAGAGATATGGACATGTGTACTCACCAACCATAGGCATTACATAGGACCAAAACTGGTTGAATTGAACCAGGCCCGTGGAAGCGCGTTGACCCATGCCCAAGGCTCCGGCTTGACCATCCGTGCCTGCCGCTCCCGCCTCGGGGAACGGGCCTTCCGTAGGTAGATCTTGCTGGATGAAGTTCACAACTGCGCTGCTTCAGCTCAGACGATGAGAGAGAGAAGAGTGAAGACACTTACAAACAGCAGTGGTGCCGTAATAGGCGAAGCGTTCACACATCTCCACAATACCGATGATGTAGATCATCCAGTTGATTTTGCCATAAACGCGGCGTAGCGTGGCCATCTCCTCCGCTGTGGGGTATTGCTCGCCATTAGGGCCAATCAGATCATCAGACTTGTGGTCAATATCGGAATCTGTCTTCGACAGGATCTTTTCTTCATTTAGTTCTTTAGCGGCCCCGCCTTGAGCGGCCTCGACGAAGTCCATGTTCGCGCCGGAAGACATGATGGGCGGCGCGTGAATGAGGATGGAGAAACGCTGCAGCTATTCTTCTCCATGGTAACGGTATCCGGTCCAACTTAAATTCCCAGGCGGCAAGTGAGTGCAATATGAGCTGCCTCTTCTGGTAAAGGGGTGTGTTACCGCAGTCTTGGAAATAATTCTCGGCGTCGCTTAGAGGAAGCTGTATATCGACGCCTAGAGATAACGTCTGGTAGTAGCTGGCAGGGTCTTAATGCCGTGACACCTTGGCCTCAGATTGTGTGCGGAGAGGGAGTTGGTGCCGAGAGTTGGGTGCTGCTCCGCTCCTCCAGTCTTGTCAGTGCCAAGGTATGCCCCGGCGGCCAAGTCGGTTCATGGCCGGGCTATCCAATAACACGGGTCTTTGGGTAGCAGTCCAAGACGGCGCTTGATAACTGCAGAAACGTTGAGCTGGATAGAGAATCGGTCAGGTGTACGGCTACACTCGGAACACGCGTTTGCAAGGTGCATTCCCGAAGGTCTTTCTTAGAGGATAGGCTTGCCACCTTCCTCCTTCAGCCCAACGCCCAGCTCTCTGCCGCAAATCGCAAGGAATAGAAGTAGTCATGACAGACCTCAGAGGCTCAGTTACTGCGTCCGGGCGATGATAAGGGGGGTATTAATCAGATGCAGGTGCCATGGTTTCGGCGCTACTACGTCGGCGGCAACGGGCTAGCCGACAGCGGATCTTGTTTGCGAAACCAAGAGTAAAGAAGCACGTTGAATTCGAACCGGAGGCGAAGGCTTGAAGCGGTTGAGAAAGGTACGTCGTAGAAAGAAGCGTTGCAATCGCCATGGCTAGTGCAGCGCCACGACCCCACTCAGCCACGTGCGCTGACTAACTTGTCCGTAAGTTCGCTAGCGCGACACAAGCCGCCTTCCTTCATCATGCCGATTTATCATCATTCTATCATATTGTCGAGCCTTCTTAACAGCTGGAGCTTCAAAGTAAGCCTACTCCACGAGGTACGAATGGCTGCTCTATTCAATGCAAATCCATTCACATCCCCCAACTACAATGCCAACCTCTGACGCTTCACATCAGCGGCATCATCAACCTCAAATCGTTGCCGCTTATTACCGCCTTGGGCAAAAGCAGCATTGGCGTCCGCCACTACCTCCTCCTCCTCCCTCTCCAAAAGCATTTCTTGTGGCCACCTCTCAGGCTGAAGATACCTCATCCTATTTCCATCCCCTCCCGGCCCCGGCATAAACCTCCTCGGATTAGCCTGCCTATACGCGCGCAGTTCATCCTCAGTCTGCTTAAACTTCGCCCTTTCTTGCAGTAGTCTCATCCTCCTTTGATCATTCGACCCCTTCTGCCAGTCCTTCTCCTTATCATACGCCAGCGGATGATTCACCAGGAGCATGATCTTCCAATCCTCGTACAACACATCCTTGCAAACTAGCTTGCTCCGCATCAGCGCGTGAATGATATTCTGCAGTCGCTCTTCACACGTCGCGGTCTTATCTGCTTCTAGGCCCTTCCTCGGGCTCAGTGCTTTGTTGAAATGCGCGGGACCGCGAAAGCCGTGCTTGCAGCGGTCGAGGAGGGCGGAGAAGACTTCGCGGGATGTGGCTTCTAGGAGGAGAGGGTCATAGGCTTCGGGCAGAAACATTTTCAGTGAGTGTGAGCCTTCTCTGTCTTTTACGTCTTTTATGTTTGCCATAGCTAGAACTAGCTGGCCGATCCGGAATTCGGCGTTTTGCTCCACGTCTTGGATTGTAGAGTCTGCATGAGGGTGTATTTGAGGCAGCTCGTGGACTTGCCGTCTATATTCGCGGGCTTTTAGCCATTGATTTCCGGTCAACAGCGTGGAATCCGAGCATCGCGGGCTTTCAGGAGTCCACACATTGATCTGGGGTTCTCGAGCCTCCTCTTGTTGATGCTTCGGAGTCGTCCGGTTCACTAGCACGAACTGGTCGCGAGAGTCAATAAATGGCCGATTTTCATGAGTACGGTCTAGCCATCCTTGATCTTCATTTCGCATCTTTGAATGACCTATCGCCATGTATTGAGATGGCGAGCGCGGAGTCTGTATCCTCGGAGACTCCAGCTTCGACAATATCGGTCTTAGCGTGCTATCCGGCGACAGCGGCATTCCATGTATCATTCCACCGAGTTGGGACTGCTGTGGCAGATATTGATGATATTGTGCAGTGTGTGGAGAGGGGCTGGAAGTGGACACGCCCACATCAGTTCTAACTGGAGCATATCCATGATGTTCAATATCATGTATTCCCTCGTTAAGGGACATGAACTGTAGATTCGGCGAGCGCTGTGGATTCGGACGAGGGAAAATGGTGTCGCAATTTTCAATGGGTGGAACTGCTATAATTCGCACATCTTGGGGCGGTGATTGGGGTACTGGGAGAGAAGTTAGTTTGTAAAAAGAGTTTCTCGATGGAACATACTGTGCTCGAGCATACCCTGCTCGTTTGCGTGTGCAGTGTCGGCTTCGTGTGCGTCTTCCATGCTTGGCCGATTCTTGAGCGGGTTATGAATAAGGCTCTTTCATGCGGAGTTTGAAAGTGAGGTTTCTGAAGTAAATGAAAATAATGAAGTATCTTTAAGGAGAGGATGAAGGTTACATTTGTGCATGGAGAAGGGGCTCTTGCTCTTATACCTCGTGCGCGGTTGACGTGAATATGAGAAATGTCACTTCAAGCGCATTCTAACCTTCAACAGTAGGAGATCAGAAGGACCATTCGGTCGTGAATTCAAACTTGAAATACGCTTACCATCGACAACTTCGTGATGCTGCGCAAAGCTTTGAAGAGAATGAGAAAGAGAGACATAACTTTCGTAGCTCGTTTGCAGAATTGAAGGCGATGGTTGTGAAGTACTTGTAGACTCTTCGCCCTCAACATTCACCTACTGCTCAGGTAATGTGACTTTACCCCAGGCTCGGATTGAAGCTTATTTTGCGAAACTTGAAAGAGTGTTTCAGCCTCGTGTATGGTGAATTTGCGCCTCGCAGGCGGCATTATTCGCCCCTACACGGAGAGCTCAGCGGTAGGGGAGTCGTAGCCGGAGGTTACCTAACCGGTGCTTCCGAACTTCGCACCGTCATACCTACGGCGGCGTCGGAAGGACAGGCAATCCTTGAGTGCTTTCCAGTGACGCTTGAAGCGCTCGCACTTAGACTGATAAGAAGCCTTCTTGGTCTTCTTCAGACGGGCTTCGGCAGCCGGAACGGCGTTTCGTAATCCGCCAATTGTGGACGAATACTTGTCGTCGTCAACAGATGACATGCGAGAAGTTCGATGTTCTCTGTATCAATAGTAGGTGGGAAGAGAGAAGCATTATCCATATACATGGACTCATTCCCATCGTGCGTCTTCTCAGTGGGACATTCGAGCCCAGGCAGATCGTGCTGCGTGGGCTGCTGCTGATCCTGCTGCACCGAAGCCAACCGGTCAGCATTGTTCGGTCCCGGAGAGGTTTGCCGGGAGTTCACGCGGGATCGCGGCTTGCGTAGCGCATTCCGCCTAGATGGCCTAGAATCATGCAATGGGGTACAGAGTGAGTTCGCTAAGGGGACGCTGATCTGACGAGACTCGGCCATCGCGGAAAGGATGGGACAAGTCATTCAGGAGTTGAGGTTGGCCGAAGATGCCTTGAACAGGCACCTCGAATACCATCTTCGTCCCCACGCCATACTCGCTTGCAGCGCCACGTGGAGTGGTAGGTGCGAACATCTCCGGACGCGACATGTTTCAATACCATCCGTTGTGTGAGCGTACTCGAGAGAGTTGCCGAAGTTGGCGCTCCCCCGCTCAAGGGAAGTAGGATGGAGGCTTTGACGTCCAGAGGTGCCGCTACCAACGAAAGCCGACGTTTTTGAACAATGCGCGTCAAATTCTCCAGGTACAACAGCGCTATAATGACTGGATATCACCCCTACGGCGTTGTACGTGCAGCATCATCTGTCACTGTTAGCTAACGTCGTCGAGACCTGAGGGGTAGATTATTCTTCCTGGTCCAGCCCTGTCGAGGATTCTCATCACAACACCCAAACACCACCCAAGCAACACCCACAACAACAACCTCCTTACATCCCCAAAGCATACCTCAGGCAGACCGACAAAGCGCACACCGTCCATCCAAGCACAATGTCTGCCTCTTTCCGATCTTCAACTTCCTTTTGGTCTGCCGCCTCGCGTCGGTCTGGCATGTTCGAAGACCGCCGTCCTTCCACCGATCCCCCGGTTACCATCACTCTCAAGAACGCTCCCCACTCAACTGCCCTCTATCTCGCAAGGCCCGCGCCAACTCCGAATTTCTTGGGATGCTACCCGACAGTGCCATAATCTCTGGCGTACCAGCTAGTGCCATGAAGGCCATGATCGCCCATCTGGAAGGTGATGACATGTTCGATATGGTGTTCTACGTGGACCACTACACGAACACGCGAATCGTGCGGTTGTGGATTCTTGCGGGCCAGATGAAACTCTACAAGGTCCAGAACCAGCTGCTTGAAGCCTGCGTGCAAGAGTATATCAAGCTCAAGAATGAGATACACATTACTCCGGAGGTGCTGCCGTTTGAAGTAATCCATGAGGCATTCGGAGAGGAATACCTCGATAGCAAGATCACGCTCTTCATGATCCATTAGCTCGCTGCTCTGGCCGGCCCATCATTCTTCGACGATTGCCTTGAATTGCCGCGCGCGCTTCGCCGGCAGATTATCGAGGTGGTACAAACGGAGGCCATGACTGACCGGGAGCCTATCGGTGCGATCTGGGATCGCTGCAAGGTTAATCTTCATGACGGTGACCCTGTAAAGGCTCAGAAGATCAAGTACTATACCCCCCGCGAGTGGTAGGGACGAGTCGTAGGATGATGATTCGCGGAAGTTCTTGTTTTCATTCCACTCCTACGAGGTCATCGTAGCTCCCGAGAGAGAGGATTCGGTGCCGCTCGCCGAGTTGTCAAAGTGATGCACTTGCACGTGACCGGAGAGCACTTCAACACAGCCCAACGATGGATGTGCCCTTTGCCAGAGAATCGGAGTTAGGTATCTAAGGGGTGATAGAAGGACTCGATGCCGTGATGTCCGCTGATAGAGATCCGAGATTGGTGTGTGGTGTCCACGGGTCGCAAATTTGCCTGACACGATTCGGTACAGTTAAAGGTCGCAGGTCCCTTTGTATCGCGCCATCATCAGCGCAGCTCGTCTCGCCCCTAAGATGAAGCATTGATATAACCGCCTCCGGGTTGCGATCCGGTGAGGTCACGTGAAGATTTCCCGCCCGGGGTTCACTTGTGCTGAGGCTGAAACCATGAAGGAGCGGAACGTCCCCTCCCGTGTTCGAGTCGTGAACCATCACCACCACCTGTGCGTTGACGACAACGACGCGACGATGGGTATTATGGATGAGAATCGCGATAACGTCGGCCTGAATGTGCTGTGAAGATCAACTCGGTGAAGATGCTGTTGATGGAAAAGCGAAGGGAAAGTACGAGGTTGGCGTTCGGCCCAAAGTAGCGCGAGCGCTTAGCCGCCCATTCAAGACGCATGAGACGTTCCACGTCCGACTCCCAAGCATCGTGCACTGCACGTCTCAGCACCGTCACAACCTCAGCCATTCGCCAGGTACAAGCCTTATAATTCCTGGCGAGTGGCCTGATTTCTGTAGGCGCCCGCTCTTCGCTTTCTCAACCTCTATTTCCTTAGGCGTCACTCTCTTCCTTGCCTCGCTCATTCTCTTCGTCTTGGTGCTGGTTCACTCTCTCTACTTAATCCTTACACTCGTGCAACCCATTCGCATATCCTAGTACACGGTTCGATAGTCAAGATGCAGTTCTTCGCGAAGCTTGTCGTCCTCCTCTCGGCCTGCCACCTCGCCGTCGCGGCCACCGAGAAGCCGGCCGCCCAACTCGAGGTCCGCCAGACAACAACCACCACCACCGGCGCCGACCCATGCCTCGACTACGGCATGACGGCGAACATGTCCGTCGTTGGCGCAAATAGCTCCTACCGCTCCGTTTTCCTCGCAAAGTCGAACGTTGGCACCATCTACAACGCCCGAATGTTCTCCGCCGCTATCGCGAAGCTGCCCGCTCTTACCGCGAACACAGCCCTCAACAACCAATGCGGCAACCTCACCCAGGTTGCGCTCACCGAGGCCGAGAAGAACCTTACACAGGGTATTGTCGCACAGTTTACAACGGCGGGATTGCCGGTTGGGATTAAGGCTGGTCCGGAGGTGGTTGTGATTGTCGCCGCGATATGCGCCATCTTTTCGTGGGTCTGGGTCTTCAGCGGATAGATGCTTGGATACTGTCGGAGAGGGTCTGACGGCCAGCGGTTGGACCCGTTGAGGCTTTGTCAAGAATTCAGAAAGCCTGCTCATGGGACACTGAGGGAGTAGGGCCAGCATCAAGGTCGATTTTGAACTTTTGTTTGGACGGCACCGGCGCGTGTATTTTGCGATCATATATCCTCGGAGGCATGTCCCTAGCATGGAGAGCTTCCCATTCATCATCAATTCACCACTGTATTTGATGCCCGACTGCAAACGCACCAAGGGTCCGAGATCATGTGTGATAGTGGTCCTCTCTCTTCCTCCTAGAGCTCCCGAGGTCCATGAATTTGACCATTACACACGAGGCCAAGGACGAACCTACGCCGAAGCCCGGTCATAAGTGTCGACCTCTGGCAACGGCCTCATAAGATGCCATGAACTTGCCGTCACTCTCAAGCTTCACTGAGGCAGCTGCTCTCCATTCATGTTCTGAATAATCGATCTGATCGCGGGCCGGGGTCATGGATCCGAGGAAGCTGGAGTGAGCTTCATTCGAGATGGTTGTATGCGGTTGGAGGAAGAATGAGCACTCGTCTACCGGCCTCTCACATGGGGTAGGATCGCACAATGATTTCATAAGCTTTCGAAGTCGATGTTGGTTCCTCGGTCCGTCCCTCGGGGGTAAGCTTACTGGGTCGGGCCGATATGGCTTATGTAATTGTGCGCCCCAAGCCTAGATCTCAGCCCCAGCATCGAAAACCCCTTTTCTCCGCACATCTGCTTTATGTTCAGCATGCTAACCTGCACTAGCTTGTCTAAATATCATTTTACTTGTAGCCCAGCAGCCGCGGGGTCAGTCCAGGTTCATCAGGGTCCAGCAAAGCTGTACCACAGAAAGCTCAACAACATGGGACCATATGGCCGTTCGGCAAAACCTATTCCTCCTTCACCGTGTTTCGACGTCCTTCGAACCAGAATATTGACCATTTGGCCCTTCGCAAAGCTCTTGGGCTTTGCCATATGGCATTATGAGGAACACCCCTCTCCATGAGGCTGGCGGCACAAAATAGACTAGCGAAAGTCTCGATAAGCAATCGGCCCGGATCCTCATCCCGAAAATATGTATCAACACTTGAAAGCCGTACGCCCACACGGGATTATCTTCAAAAGCGCATTGGTGTGGGTTGGCGAGTTATCTCCATCCGGCAAAGCGCGCTGTTAGAGCGGGCTATCGTTCGCCGATGTGCTACTAGCGTTTCTTGTGCCTGGGGAGAAGATGCGGAACCTTGCACATGCATGGCCCACGAGTAATAAGTGTTGAAGGTCAGCTTGTGGTTTCAGAGTTTTTGAAAAGAAGGGGCAAGCCGTGTGCCCAGCCTGAGGATGCGCCCTTTCCACGGTCCCGGACAAAGGCGCCTTGACGAACTGAAGGAGGGTGAAGCGACTCAGTCAATCAACTTCAGGACGAATACGATACTCAGGGCTTGGGAGGTAGCTGCGGTGCGGTCGCGGGCGAGATGGCTTCCTTTGGGGATATCCTCGCGGAGATGATGCAGAATCCACCTGATCCGAATGGCCCTGTTCCAGCGTCGAATAAACCAGCGACTATGTACGGAGCGGCGATACCATTTCACGTAAGTACCTCTTCGACGAAATTCATTGCACAGCGGGCAGATCTTCAAGAGATCCTTATACACAGTCCTAAAAACCTTCAGGGTGCAATCACTCCGCAGCGGACGCTAACTTGTAATCAGGTATTGAGCTGGGCAGCCGTTGTCTTTCGACTTCATACACGCTTCAGAGTGGTGCGCGAACCCAGATGGGACGATTACATTGTCTTCGTGGCTGCGGTTTTCAACCTCGCCGCCATGGCGAGCTTCCCTGGCGGTGCGCCAACTCAACATCGGGTTGTACTGCTCGCATACTGACCTAGTGTCCAGCTATCCAGTACGGACTCGGGAGGCATCTCCTCTACATCGACCCTAAGGATATCACTAGCACGATGAAGTTTCTATACGTTCAGAATGCTTCCTATTTCACCTGCACGGCGCTGATCAAAGTCTCTCTACTTTGCCAGTATCTGCGGCTCTTTGGAGCGGGACTGCTTCGCAAGACCTGCATCGTCATGCTTGTCCTTGTAAGCCTCTGGGGTGCTGCGTTTTTCTTTATGGGTTGGATACCACGCTTCCCGTGTCCGAGTTCTGGGATCGATTGCAGACCCCTCCACCGAAGTGCTACGGGACCGGTTTTGGCTCGAAGAGCGGTGCTATGGCGGCCTTCACTTCCTTCGCTGCTACAAATATGTTCTTCGACACCGCAATATTCTTCATCCCAATGGCTGTCTATCTCAAGCCAGGCCTTCAGAGGAAGCAACTCCTAGCGCTCATAGGCCTGTTTACGGTAGGTTTGATGTAAGTATCGCTCGTAACCCCGCGGCAGCATCGAGACAGAGAGATGGCTGACAGAACGTGCAGCGTCGTGCTCATGTCCATCCTCCGCCTCTGGACCGCACTGAGACAGAACAAGGACACCTTCTCCAGCGTGGACTTCACATGGTGGAATCCTCCGACGTTGATAATATCCTGCCTTGAAGTCGACTTCGCCATCATGTGCGCCTCCATGCCAATTTTCTGGCCCGTCATTGTCGCGTCGCTCGCCCAGATCTTCGTCACACGAGAAGTCCGAGTCACCAGCCATCAGCAGTTACCCGAGGACGGCGGCTTAGATTTCGAGATGGGCAGACCCAATTCTTCTTTAAAGAGTAGTAGTAGCCAGGAAGGATTAACGCGGGTGCAGGAATTATCGAAGACGGACTATAGCGATCAGCTTATCGTGGATTATGTCACGGGAAAAGTACCGGAGAGTGGGACGGTCGCCGTCGGCAGAACGAAATCAAAGAGGGAGTGGATGCGTTAGGATGATAGGAGATCGCAATATGAAGTTATTATGAAATGGGACGAGTTGGTACTATGAGATCTGACTGCTAACATCCTCCACAGGGCTAAAAAAGTCGAATCGACTTTCTCAGTAGCGTGGCAGCTCATATAGCTCCGAAGCCCTTCAGGGCGATGAATCTCGATTCGCTCTCCCCGGGCGACCTGACCTTAGAGCTTTAAGAGATGGCCCCTGTCGCCCTAGGGTTTCGGCGTTGAGACTGAGTCCGATCCCATCACGTGACCGATCGCGGCGGGGTTCAAAAAACAGACGAATTCCGCCTCCGCCGCCCCAACCCAACACCGACAGCGTCAGTGTCCCATCTCAATTCCATCGCTCCGTCGACGAATCATATTACCGCGCGCTTCAGCAGCAATTGGAGCACTTTTGCTTGCCATTTCCGGAGGCTACTTCGCATGTCGCCGGATTTGAGCTCGTCCATCTCGCGGACCCGAACTGCCTCAGCAACGTGACCATGGATCCCGCTGTGGAACCCGGGACTAAGGTTTCGGCTGCTTATGGTCACGCCTGTGCAAACTGCGTCAAGGCGAAGTCTCGGTGCATACCCCGCGGAGGGAGTTGCGAAAGGTAAGTCGTCGCCAACAGCATTATTTGACAGTCGACGCTGGAACGGCTCGATTGAAGTTAGTGAGTTGAAGGCCTCCTGGCTAGCGAATGCGTATACACCTCTTCATCGATCCACCAGAGCAGCTCCGTCAAATATAGAAGAGACCCGCAGTCGGTAATCTAATTTTAGCTATGGCTAACAGTTCTTCCGCAAGGTGCCACCGGCTGTCCAAAGACTGCCAACCTGCCACCTTTGTACGCAAGCGAGTCGCAAAGAGGTCGGCAGCGTCAAGTCGGAAATCCCAGTTGGAGGAGAAGTTAGAGAATCTGGTCACGTTGTTGCAGGCCCAGAATGCACCACAGGCAGCGGGTACGCAGGCTGCGCAGCCCCAGTACCAGACATCGCAGCAGCCCACTTCGGACCTGGGAAGCAGGAGCCAGAAGACCTTCAGCACGACGAGCGAAGCCCGCGCTCCGCCCACGCCGGTGACCTCCGGATCCGCTTCTCACGGTTCGCCGCTCCCAGACGAAGCCAAATCCCAGGCGGAGCAAGACCTACTTATCTTCCGCACTCGTTACCTCGGATTCTTCCCTTGTGTGCATATCCCACCAGGAACCACCGCCGAGCAGCTCCAACGAGAGCGTCCGCTTCTCTATAAGGCCATCCGCGTCGCGTCCACGGGTTCCCGCGCTTGCCAAAAGAAACTCGGTCTAGAAGTGCGAGAGGAGATAGCCCTCCGGGCGGTAGCTAATGGTGAGCGGAACCTGGAGCTTCTTCTCGCCTTGCTTGTTTGCATGTCCTGGTGAGGCGCCTCTAGGCAGGATTAATGTCTCGACAACTGCTTACGAATGCAAGGTTCTTTTACTTCACTCGCGCGAAGCCTACGCTAGGCATGTTTGCGAGCGTTGCGAGGTCTCTCGTTGCAGACCTAAAGCTGGATAGGCCGTCGCCTGGAGTCCAGTTGTGCCCTGGGGATCCGCCGTTACCTTATCTGCGGGAGGTTAGCGAGACGCGAACTGACGAAGAGCGGCGAGCTCTCGTAGCCTGCTTCGCTTTATCCGCTATGTAAGGCTTGCCATTCATGGTATCGTCTACTGACGTTGACTTTCACAGGGTGTCCGTGGCACTCAGATACGAACCTATGAGGTGGTCGCCTCAAATCGCAGAGTCATGCCAACGGCTTTCCTTGACGCACGGCGTGCCTGGGGATAGCATCCTTGTCGCCATGGCGTGCATCTCGAAGGTTGCAGTCGAAGGGGCACGAATAATCCAACGGCTGCATGAGGATCCCGATTACGCTGTGCATGCAATCCTCCATATTAACGCTTTGCGCACGCTATTCGACGACGTCAAAGCCACATTGACAGCAGAACAGCTAGATAATAGTCAGTACAACCCACTCTTCGGGGTAATCACTATGCTATGCTCACATTTGGCCTATAGAGACCGTTCTCGCCTATCTTTACAGCACGGAAGCCCTCATCCACGAACCCGCTGTATTCCAGCCGCCTTCGCCCTCGCCCGCTCAAGGCCTGGACTTCAAGCGGATCGAGTATTTGACCGCCTGTCTCTACGCCACGAAGGCCACGTTGGATAACTTCATCTCGCTTCCCCTTGTTCACTTCACCTTGCCCAGCTCGCTCTCCTTCTCCCACAGCTCTCAAGGTACGTATATCGTCGTATATACCCCTTGCATAAGCTTCCCTCCTTCGCGACTGCATAAAGGACCTCCTAAATGCCTTCAGCTAGTGTTGACTTGCGACACGTTATACATTAACTACCTTGATCCACTCGCCCTGCTAACGCATGCCGCTCTTCACAGCCCTCTACAAACTCTCCCTCCTCGACTGCCCCGGCTGGGACCGGCACCTCGTCCGCTCCACCGCAGACGTGATCTCCTACATCGAGCAAACCTGGCACAAAAGCGTGCAGGCCGCCGCAGAAACAGACAAAGAGTCCGGAGAAGAGAGCGTCTTCGGGAGGGAGAGCGAGCCCATCAGAGCGACGGCGGTCGCGTGGAAGGAGGCGTTGGACCGCGCAACAGCTGCAGCGCCCCTGGCTAGAGAGTCTGCGGCGGTGGCAGGAGGATATGAAGGAGTGGAGGCTGCGTGGATGGATTTTGGCACTGATGTGCTGTTCTCGGATGTTTTTGGCCAGTGGAGTTGAGGCGGACGAGTGTTTAGGGGCCGGGCAGAGGGGCGCGACATTCGTCCATGTCGGGCGGGATGCCGACACGACGGTAGGACCGGACCCGGGGAGTTCGGGATAGGAATTCGCGCCAACGCCGATACTCCCCCTTTCCTCAGAAAATATCCGTGTACACTACTGGACATCATGGCCAAAAACGTAAGTGGGTTTCTCAAATGCTCGTCCCGCTTTCTGATGGTAATACGGATCGGGATTCGTGACCGCGAAATCCGTTCGCTTGTTTACTTCGCGTTGACTCTGCGACGGATACATCCTTCCTGCAAGGCAGCAGTGTTTGCTTTCTTGTTATATACTTCGTCCTTTCTTTCTATTTTCTATTCTCTACTTTTTATTGTTGGTAGACGGATTGGTTTTGTTCCTCATTACCAGACGACACAGATCACCACGCACCTGCACCATTCGTTCACGATGTCCCCCAATGCCACACCCTCGATCACCACCGCACCAGAGGAAAAACTGAACCCTACCTTTCCTCGAGATCCACTACCACCACCGCCGTCCGACGACGTCCCCTCGCCAGAAAAAACAGAATACATCCCCGGCGCCGCACTAGCACTCGTCCTCGCAAGCCTGACCCTAACCGTCTTCCTCCTCATGCTCGACCAATCCATCCTCAGCACCGTACGTCAAAAACCCCCCTCCCCATGACCACTAACAAACCATCTCACTAACAAAAAAACCAGGCCATCCCGCAAATAACATCGCACTTCCACTCGCTCTCCGACGTAGGCTGGTACACGGGAGCCTACCAGCTCGCAAAGCACGTTTCCCCCTTTCCTTCCCCTTCCCCCTCCCTCCCATCCATCATCGCTAACCCACGCGCAGTGCATCCTTCCAACCCCTCACCGGAAAGTTCTACACGCACTTCCGCGCCAAGCCCGTCTTCCTGGTGCACCTGTTCGTCTTCGAGCTGGGCAGCCTGGTATGCGGCGTGGCGCGCAGCTCGCAGATGCTGATTGCGGGGCGGGCGATCGCGGGGCTGGGGGCGGCGGGGCTGGTTAATGGCGCGTTGACGATATTGAGTGGGGCGGCGCCGTTGGAGAAGAGGCCTTGTGAGTAGTGTTGTTGCGATGCGGTGTGATGGGGAAGAGAAAGAAAGGGAGGCTAACTGGATGCGTGTAGTGTATACGGGGCTTTTGTTGGGAAGTGAGTATAGTCTGAGCTTGCCATGGGCGAGGAGTACAGTGTGCTGATTAGAGATGGCAGTCGGACAATTAGGCATCCTCTCCGGTCCGCTCGTCGGAGGCGCGTTGACGGAGTACACGACATGGCGATGGTGTATGTCCCCTCCCATCTCTTCCCCTTATATACCTTGCAAGCAACAAACTAACCTTCTCCTCTGCCAGGTTTCTACCTCAACCTCCCCATCGGCGCCATCTCCGCCCTCGTCCTCTTCCTAATCGGCATCCCAGACCTAACCCCCAAACTGCCCTTCACGCTGCCCCTCCTGCGCTCCATCATCCCCCTGCTCGACCTCCCCGGCTTCGTCCTCTTCGCCCCCGCCTCGATAATGTTCCTGCTCGCCGTGCAATTCGGCGGCGACGGCAGCCACGCGTGGTCGTCGCCCACGATCATCGGCCTGTTCGTCGGCGCGGGGATAATTTTCCTACTCTTCAGCGCGTGGGAGTGGCGAGCGGGAGACAAAGCGATGATCCCGGGGAGTATATTGCGGAACCGCATTGTGTTGATGAGCACAGGGCAAGTGGCGTGCTTGACGGTTTGTCTCGTGGTGGCGAGCACATGGCTGCCGATGTACTTTCAAGCTGTCAGGGGCGAGGGCCCGACGATGAGCGGGGTGGATTTGCTGCCGAGTATTTTGGCGCAGTTGCTGCTGTCGGTGGTGTCGGGGGCTGCTAGTGAGTTGTTGACCCTGACTCTCCTGTCAAGGAGTGTGAGATCAATGTGTGTGTGTGGGTGCTGATGTGTGCGCAGTGTCGAAGCTGGGATATTACCTCCCGTGGGCAGTTTTCAGCGGCGCCGTAACTACGATCGGTAACGGGCTTATCTCGACGTTTTCGCCGACGACGAAGACGGCGTCGTGGATTGGGTATTTGATCGTTGTGGGCGCGGGCCGTGGAGCTGGCATGCAGGTTGTGAGTCTCCCTGTCCTGCTCTCACGTTCCCCCTTTCTCCTAGCGGCCTGCCGCCTCGAATATGCTAACTGGCAACTACATAGGCCTTCATCGCAACCCAACACGCGCTCCCACGCGCCCTAATCCCCACCTGCCTCGCCTTCCTGATCTTCGCCCAAAACTTCCTCTCCGCCATCTCCATGCTCATTGCCAACACGATCTTCACGCAAACGCTCTTCTCGCAGCTCGCCAAGCACGCGCCCTCGGTCTCAGGGCCCGCCGCTCTGGCAGCCGGTGGGAGCGCCAGTGCCGTTCGCGGTCTCGTGCAACCCGGGCATGAGGACGAGCTCGGTGGCGTGTTGCTGGCGTACAGCGAGAGTCTGAGGAATGTGTGGTTGATGATTGTGGGGGTTGCGGGGGTGGGGTTTGTATTTAGTTGGGGGATTGGGTGGAGAGATGTGAGGAAGAAGGATGATGGCGAGGGAGCCAAGGTGGATGTATGAGGTATCATTGGATTGCCCTGTCCCGAAGAACTGTAACGCCTCTTACATGCGTTCAAACTACCTTGGAACTAGAAGGAAAATGAGGCGTGGAGAGCAGGTAGGCCAGATATAGTAAAGCTCGAAAACGAAACCTTGGAAGGCAGTCGCGGGGGCCAGTGGATATGGAATTCGGATCGACGTCGCATCCTCTCAAACCTTTCGCCGCCATCTCACCTCGTTTAGTTACGGAAAAATAGATAGCCCTAGGTGCCCGAGGGGTATTGTTTTTTATTCGTTGTCGCTTCCTACGGTTGCAATTTCCTTTTGGCTCCCAAAGCGGAGCTGTTGGGTTGTTGAAGCAGGGTGACAGATCCGCTGCTGCTGCTGTCGCGGCGTGCTGTGGCGACACCACAGTGCGCCGGACGGAACCAGTCGACACTTTCATCGTCTTGTTTGTTAACCTTTCGTTCCGCCTCTCGTTCCCCATTTTCTAGCCACTCCCTGCGGACTCTAACGAAACGCTTAGGTGTTTCCGGGCCCGTCGCCTCGATACCATCTTGTTCATATCGCTCTCCTAGCCGGCTCCCTTTCATGTAAAACACGAATTGGGTATCTTCCAAGGCCGACAACAGTGCCTCAATATCCCGACCACAGTGCTGAACGGCGTCACCGACACCACCGTTTCCGTGGTAGCTGAAGGGATCACTCGGTTCATCAAGGGCTTCTACAGATACTTCGTCGCACGCTAGGATTTCTATTAGGCGCTCCTCCGTGGGGTGTCTGTCGCCCGTCATCTCTCTCCGGCCTGCCGATAGCAATTGCTCTTCATATCAAGTTAGGACGCCATATCCTCGGTCTCAATGAAAAGCTTACTCAGAGTGACAGCAATATCACCAAGTGTGCCAAGGATGAAAGCTCTCATCGGCGCAATTTCCGGGTCATCGGACAGATCAATAAGCTTGATTTGAGTCGAAAGCGTGCCACCCATGGACTCCAGTCGGATCAAAGCTCGTTGGAGACAGCTATGTGCTTGCCAAACGCTGCTGGCTTTGCGCAGCGCGGCCACACAAGCATCATATATATCCTTCCAATAGTCAGAGACCCGATGGAAGCATTCGCTTGCGTTGCTACCACTTACCATCTCTATTCCTTCTCTTTTTCCGCCATACTCTCTTGCGGGTAGCGTCGAAGGATTCGATTTCAGTGGAGGTTCCGAGGCCGTCCCTCGCTCTTCCGCTTGCTCCATTGGGAGAGACCGGAAAAGCCTTTGGCTTGCCACAATGTGCGGTAAGTGATCGCAATCTAATCGTGCAAGCTTGCGAAATTTAATAGTCGCAGATGAGCTAGCACATCGAGAACATCTTAAAGATAGGCTCTTTGCGGTGGCGTGAACGCGAAAACAGGGGTGCCACTCCATGCCACTCAACAAAAGCAAAAAGTCGACACACCTCAGCCAATTAAACATCAGCATAACCCGAAGGCTTAGCGCCATGGCAATATCTCATCGCCTGTTCAAGTCATAGTTGCTGCTCAGCTGTTCAGCCTCGTCACTAGCTTAGCTGTTTCCCTTCCCTTTGCTCACACGAGACCTGCATCGACAGGGGCATTAGTCGCCTGAGTCTTCAGATCATACCACATCACACAGATGAATTTATGCACGTCGGGCCCAGCGCATCCATCAGCCCGCAGCATCATAGGTTTCAGTATCGATTCCCGATTCATCCTCCCGGATATATCTTTCCCCTCGAGGACGTAAGCGAATGCAATGGTGGATCCAATCGGCGCAGTCGCGCTAGTGATTACCGGCATCCAAGCTGGTTATAACGCCTATCGGGCTTACAAACTCACAGAGGCCTTTGGCACTGATTTTCGACAGTTCCAGCGAAGGTTCGAGAGCCAAATAAACCGTCTTCGATGGGAAGCAGTCCGGCTTCGGAAAGAAGCAGTGTTCTACTTGGTAGGGTTCAATATGTATCCTAGCATCGGTGCTGACCGGATCTAGGGTAGCAACGTAAACGACGCTCAAGAATGGTCACAATACGTTCGGAAGCTTTTGGTTCACATCATGATAAACATCGAAAGTTGCCAGCGGCTCGCAGAGAAGTATGAGCGTGCAGCGCAAGGTTTGACACTCTCCAATTCACGGACTGTTTCCGAGGGTTAACATCAGCCAGAATCGCGAAACGTGAAATCGAAGGGAAAGCCGTCAGATATTATCAACGCAAAGCAATCCAAAACAGTTCTTGCAAAGACAGCCGATGGGGTCAATCACAAGACGTCTACCGACTCAACAAACGTCAATAGGAAACCTCGTCATCTATTCCGGAATATTAGCTTCAAGAAGGCCGACACACCGAGTGAGGAAGTCAGCTCTATCAAACTAGTGCCGACCGAAGTGAGCAAGTGGTCTCTTCTCTCAATATTCGACCAGCCGGGAGTCTGCAAGAATATCCATCAAGAGAAGGACCTCTCCGAAGCGCTGCAAGAAGGCACGAGCCTTCGACTGCGGCTAGAGTGGGTGATCGAAGACAGAAATGAGTATAGAGACTGCCTGTGCTCCATCGCAGACGCCATCAAAGAACTGCAGCATCTAGTCACCAGTTATATTGAACAAGCCACGGCCTCAAATGTCAGCAACACCAAGGACTCCAGGACGATCTCCATATTTCCTCAACGGCACTCTACGTTGGAAATACGACAATCGGGAATGGCTTATAGCACATTGCTAGCCCACTACACCGAAAAGAGTGAAGACATGGAGATGGAAGATATGGCACCTCTGCCAACCGAGACGTATCAGTGTCAGGAGGCTTTCTACCGGCTCTACGCTGACCTGCGAAGTCTATGGCCGAACCACAATCTTTGTGTCAGGCTGTACTATGATCATTATGGCACGCAGGAAGAGCTACAGCCATGTCAAACGGTCAGCACACGCAAGGACTCCCTCGTCTTCTTGTTGCAGTGTCGGCTTGGAGATACCGCGGACGAGAATCTTCTGCTTGTTGCGGACACACCGATTTTGCGCCGCTCACGTACGAAAGCCGCCCATAACCCGTCCGGGGTAGACCGACTTTTGAAAGAGCGCATTCAGAAAGGTCCCCTACTCCAAGGTCCGTTACAGCCCGCGAAGATTGAGTTGGACAACGATGAGCCGCTCGTGTGCTTGGGATCTCTAGAAATGAGCCTTTCTCAGGCATTCCGTATTTCCGAGAGATGCAAGTCCAGAGAAGCGAGCTCTATCGGGGGCTGTCGTGGGCGCGAAGTTCTCCAACATCTTGATCACGTCACTCCCGAAAACAGTGCGTAAACATCAAATGCCAGATGGGGAAGGTTACTGACAAAGAATAGGGAACCCCACTGACGGCCAATACTATCAAGATCCAAGTTCAGCGACCATTGCTAGGGAGGGCGACGTAGACGGCGATCTCCAAGTTCTCGGCGAGCCTTCCAGTGTACGTAACTCTCCGCAACACAGTGAGTAGCTCGAGTACACCGCATTGCGCTATTGGCTTATGAAGAGCAGCCACTCCCGATGAAGAATTCGCTGTGATTAAATATGAGCCACTGCGAAGATCAGTCTTCCATCACATATATCAGGATCGGAAGAGCTTGTGGAGGCAAGAGACCTCTTTGGAAAATTTTCTTTTAGATAGTTCGTTCCGGCGGCCGGAGTATGCGCACCTTCACGTTCGTTTGGCTGCCCTATTGGCGAAGAACTATGTGTCGCTCGGATTCCACGGCAACGCTCAAGTGTTTCGCCCTCAGGACTGCCTTTATTTTCGGCCAGCGTCAGAGCATGATCCACCGATTGACGAATTATTACTTCTCAGCCCGTCCTTGCACATACGCCCTGGAAACTCGACGCGCATCGGGACCGGACTTGGCATACCGTCGCCCAAGCGGCAGGCGCTTCTGGAGTTAGGGCTTCTTCTGTAAGAAGTCCCCATCATTTGGAGCACATTCTTACTCCAGGGTAATACGCAGTTCGACTGACTGCTGCAGATATCAAATCGGAAGTTGGAAACGCATTGACTACAACCACCCCGGCAGACTTCCCTCTCTAATACAAAGCTCTCTACTCGATCTGCAGTCTGTCGTCGACCATGTTGGTTCTGCTTTTGCAGACGTCGTATACTTCTGCCTTGCGGAGCGCATCGCACATCGGTCATTTAGCATCTACCTTCCACCGGGCTTCCTGCACCAGTGGCCGCGCTACTGCACCGAGGAAGTCTACCATCGAATCGTGGCACACCGGGAGTCTCATAGGACCTACAACCCGTGCTCGCTAAGCGGCACCCGGGCATTGAGCGAGGCCCTTGAGATATGGCACTACGTAGTCAAGCCCCTCGAGCGCCTTTGGGACCGGGATGCGTGTATTGATGCTATGGTGCGAATGCGCCCTATCTTTGTTCATCCGTCATGGCACAAGTTACTGACTACTTGCCCACAGCTCTACCTAAGTCCTTCGTCCTCTTCCGAGACAGCTACAACAGATGAAGATGATTGGTATACTAAGAGCCATCATCTACATGTACCCCAGGTTGTGCTCCGCCGACCTCACGGTCACGACGACGACGACGATGACGACGACGACCTCCCGCATGGCAACAAGCAGGACTGAAGGAAAATGGTTCGTCATACGGTCGTACCGTCATCGCCGCCGCCACCACCGCCACTACCCGTAGGGCCTCTAGTATTCGCCGAACACTCGAATCATAGTCTGCATGAGACCTCCGAAGAAGATAAACATGGCCGCAAAGATAGTAATGGAGAGGGCAGAGAAAGTTGGTTCACTATCGATCGATTGATTGATTGATTTTTTCTCATTTTGAGTCACCAACCTATAGAGGTTATGCTAACTAGCGGCAAAGCAGAGCTTCGGCTTACGGACTCAAAAGATGCCAAAATTAAGAGAAGATGGCCGGGTGTCCCAGAACTACGAGGAGGTGGCCAGTAGATTGGATCTTTCTTTACGAGTAGACTCCTGGAGGGCAAACGCCGGCATGCGGAAGCCTACTCTATATCGATTGGGTACGCCAGTTGTTCCGCACAACCAACAACATAGATACGCTCCAAGATCGCAACTCGGTTGCGGATTCTTTCTTCCAAAGAATGCTTTTCTCCTTTCTTCCGTGTTTGGTTGGCTGGCGAGACGCGGAAGTTCTTCAATAGTGAAGGGGAGAGAGCAAGGTCGATGCCCAGCCAGCGCAAGAGTGAGACAGTGAGACGTCAGACTTGTGGCTTAGCCACTTCCCCCTTTGGGACCGTATGATCGCCAATGACGGTGGTCCACTACCCCGGAATGTCTCAGTTCGGGCGCAGCCGATAATACAAGTGAAATAAGCCTCGTACGCCTGACTTCATGGAATAATCTCCGAGCGTCCTAGGCAGTGCTATGCATCGCACGTCATGACTTTCACAATCGTCTCGCCACTCTCCGCTCCTGCCCTCCTCATTCCCAGATCCCTAAAATCGCAAGTCGATGCATTAGCTAAGCATCACTTAAGGCTTTTCTTCACGCCCTGCTCGTCACACAACATCAAAGCCTATCACAAAGCAGAGTCTTAGATCGAAATTGATGAGAAACATGACATTGAACTCGATAGACATAACTAGCAAAACCGAAACCCAACGAGCCAACCAACTCCTACATAGCCGCAGCCTTAACCTCCTCCGTCCGGTCGCGCCACCCCGCGCTCTTCCGCGCAGAAACGCGCTCCTCAAACAAATGATCAATCTCCATCGGACTCCTGCCCTTCATCTCCGGCACAATAAAGTACGTCGCGACCGCCGCAACCACACACGCACCCGTGAAAACAAACCCCGTCTTAGCCTGCAGATCCGCGGCATCGGGGTTATACAAGTACGGCAGGACAAAGTTTGTAAATATAGACGCGACGTAGGCGGAGATACCGCCGATGGCCTGCGACTTAGCGCGCAGGCGCAGCGCGCTGGCCTCGCTCATGATGGCGTAGGAGGTGGGCCAGACGCCGAGGCCGCAGACGAGGATGACGGCCATCATGATGCCGCCGGAGATCCAGGGCGTGATGCTGTCGTTCTGGAAGCAGCCGGCGATGCCCATGGCGGCCCACAGGAGGGATGCGACGATGCACGTGTTGATGGTCAGGCGGCGGCGGTTGAGGTGCGAAAGCGTCCAGGTGGAGCCGAAGTTGGCGAACATGCCGATGACGATGCCGACGATGAGCAGCATCAGGCTGTACTTGGAGGACATGCCGACTTGCTGCAGGAAATAGGAGGCGGAGGTGAGCAGCGGGAGGCCGAACAGTGGGGGGAGGAGGTTCGCGAAGATGACGATCAGAGTGCGGCGCCGGTTGGAGCCCTTGAAGCATTGGGAGTAGCCGATATCCGAGGCTATTCTTTCTTCGGCTTCGATGGAGAGGCGGAGGCGCTCGAGCGCTACGTCGGGGTCGTTCTTGGGCGCGAGCAGGCGTTGGAGCGATTTGCGCGCGGCTTCCATGTCCTTCTTCCGGACTAAGTATGCAGGGCTTTCCGGGAGGACGAAGCTCATGACCAACGGTATCGCGGAGAAAGCCCATTGCACACCGAAGGCAATCTCATAACCCATAGCGGTAGGGACGTCGTTGACGGCGAAGACGACAACGGCGCCGAGAAGCTGGCCGAAGGTATTGAACGCAGGGAACAAGGCCATTGCCCAACCGCGCAGACATGTCGGCACCGTTTCCGAGACATACGTCAAGGTGACCATCTTGATGAGCGCGCACGCATAGCCCTGGATGATCTTTCCCGCGAGGAAAGTGCCGCGCTTCCCATTGACGCCATTCGCCTTGTTGGCCAGGAACTCAATCAAGACGCTGAAAACCGTAATGACGCATCCAATCAACAGGCACCGCGTCCGTCCAAGGCGGTCCTGCATCGGGCCTGCCGATATAGCGCCGAACAGCTGGCCGATGGAGGGAAAAGCCTGCCAGCACGACAGCCATATAGCGGGAATGATCCATTTGTCGGGCTCGGATGCGCCCACATCAGGCTCGCCGAAGTCCCTCTGGAAGACATCGAGCGCGGTGACGCTGCCCACGACGACGAGATCGTAGCCCCAGAGCAGGATGACGGTGGAGAGGCCCAGGACGTAGCCGACGAGCTTGGAGTATTGGCGGAGCGCCTGGCGCAGATTCAAGTCGATGTGCGCGTCTTCGACCTCGCTGTTGGATTCGGTGTCGTAGCGTATTGTGGAGCTCGGTTCGTGCTTCTCTGGGTCGACAATGGGAGCCATGATGAGAGAGCGGGGAACGATTCAGCGCGTGGTGTGAGCGCAAGAGGAAGCAATGGCTATGAAGAAGATCCCAATGGATATCTTATAGACATAGGACGAAGCAGGCTGAGTATGTCGGTGAGCGAGAGTCGCACCAGACGGCGCGTGTATGCTGTATATATGTCGTGCCCAGGGAGGATCAACGATCTCAAGCCCAGAAGTAGAAACTGTCGCGGGTACCCCACAGCCGCGGTCGAGTAGATGCGGGGGCCCTGAGAATAACAGTAGATGACGGCCTCGGGAGGGATCAGTGCAGCATTGATAGGGCTGCTGGCCGGTTGACGCGAGCAGGAGGCGACGTAAACGGGGCGCCTCCACTTGGCAACATGGCGAACAGACGAAAAAGGGCTCGCGGGCCTTGTTAAAATGAGGGGCAAAGGATCAGAGGATGCGTCTAATGGCCAATGAGAAAGCCCCTGAATAGATTCGTGTGGTGTGCGCCGCCCGGGTGCATACAGCGGGATTCGCTTACAGGACCGAAGTTCGCTTCTTCGATGCCCGTTCGCGCAGCTTCCAATCTGGAAGACTGCTCCCTGTGCATGTTTGTGAGACCTGATCGATCATCATCTCGTCATTGCGTGCGCGTTCGCTATTTTGTTGATGGAATGATTTGCGCTGGCTTTTGCGACCTGCGCTTCTTGGATGTGGTGCATCGAGAGGTGTTCTGCACAAAGATATCTCATGGATTTAGCCGCGCACTATGCAACACAGTCAGCAATCCCGACCAATGGACCATTGTTTGGTACGCCGTTGAAGTCCCCGACTGGGCAGTCCGTGCTTCAGGAGATCCGGATTCGGCACGTCTCAAGTTCGAACCGTGAACTGTTTGCCTCTGTTGAAGGATCTCACTCTTCTGCAGTATGGTCAGACAGCTGTTTCACGGCCCTTTTCGTCCCACAAGATCCTACAAACCATCAATAATGCCCCTAGGCTCACAGTCCTCCTATCCCGCCACCAACTTATACGCTCTGCAGTACTACCGACACGCGCTGCGCTGCACTGCGCCGCACTGCCCAACACCTCCCTTTCACTCCCTTTCTTTCTTCCCTCTCATGCCACCACCAAGAGCGGTGAACCGCGATATATTGCTCGACCGCTCGAGAAGACGACGTTCGCGTCTTGGAGAAACGTAGTCCCGCAGCCCAGCGCGTCGCCCATCCATGGTTCACCAAATACTCAGCCGCATCGAACACGCAGATGAAACGATCTATATGCCCGCAAAAGACCGCAGTACAACACCGAGTTACGGGCCGAACCAAAGAATTCTACGGGAAACAAGCACTATCCATGCCTCAGTCAGCTCTCCACAAAAGCCTCAAAGCTAAAAACTCCCCGAGAGGATTGCGCACGGATGCACCGGGGAATACTAGAAGCTCTACGTACTGTCGTTACAGGGGGAAGTTTATTAGAACGCTGCCTACGTCCCTCACCTTCCTTACTCCCGTTCGTCTTCACTTCTCCTACAATAACCGCTTTATATCAAATCTTACTCTTGTCTGCTAGAGTAATCTTGCCTAGCACTCTTAGTTATATCGCTCTATCTTACCTCTATTACTACTTCTTAAACCTATTAGCTTAATATTATTTAGTATAGTTAAGCTAATATTATTCTATAATATATTTATAAGTAACGTACTTTACAAGCGAACCGACCACACAAGCAAGCCGACCACCTTTTTCTTGGCAAGAAAATCAACGAAAATTAACCTGTTTTTCTTAAATAACTAAGCAAAACCTTAATATTTTTCTATAAAAATTTATATATATATATTCTTTATAGTATATTACATCTTATAGTAAAGTTATACTAAAATATATTACGTAATTAAAAAGCTATACGTATTTAGGTAACTTTTAAGAAAAATCTAGTTTACTTCTAGTTAGTACTATTATATCTTTATAATAATCTATAAAACTTATAGTATATAGTATTTATAATCTAATAAAGGTTTCTAGAAAATTTCTATAGCGCTAGCTCTTCTAGGTATAGCGTAATAAGAAATAGAAGTTTAAAAAACTCTTTATAGAGTTTTCTTCTCTAACTATATATATATATTAATAATCTAGCTATATAAAGTTATATATTATAAGCTAATATATATTATAAGCCTGCTATATATTTAGAAGTAATAATATTAAGATAGTTTTAGTATCTTTCTCTCTTTCTATACTATACTACTAAAAAGGCTTTACTTTTAAATAACTACTTAAAGCTTCTATATTATTAGTTAATAAGCTCTATATAGTTAGAGCCTACTATAATTTATATAATAATAAGTTTATATATATAGTTAGAAGAGTATAAGAGCTAGCTTTATAGTCTCTACTACTATAAGCGTTCTAGAACACCTAGCTAGATAAGTTAGCTATAGGTAGTACTATCTTTACAAGCTATAAGAATAGAGTGCTAGTAGAGTAGGTTAGGTTAAATTTAGCTATCTAAAGATAAGAAGTAGAAGAATACTCTAAGAGCTCTCTATATATAGAGAGCTAAGCGCTAAGACGCTAGGCTAGGTTATATAATAAGGCTACGTAATCTAAGATTATATAACCTAGGTAAATCTCTAAACTAGACTATTATATTACTCTCTCTTATAGAAAGAGCTTATTTCTAAGCTCTAAAATATACCTCTAAGGTTTCTCTTCTTCTAAAATTCTTACGTTATACTCTTAACTATCTCTTTTAGCTTAGTTTTAAACTAGAAGCGCTTTTATAGCTACTATCTTCTACTTAATTACTCTATTCTCTATAGAGCTCTACTCTAATATAAAATCTACTAGAGAAAAAGAGATTTATAGAAATTTAAACTAGAAGACTTATTTCTATATCTATAGAGTAACTTTATTATAGACTCTCTTCTTAAATAATACTATAAGCTTAGTAAAGTCTTAAATTACTTAGTAGCGTTCTTACGTTACTCTTATATCTTTTACTCTTATAAGTTTTAAATTCTCTACTATCTTCTCTAGAGTCTTCTCTTTTTTATACGTCTTAATCTAAGTATCTAATTATAATAGTAGCTCTAGCTTATTTAGGTATACTATATAAAAGTCTCTTACCTTATAAAGAGTATTAATAAAGCCTATAATATTATACTAGGTAGAGTTAGAATTATAAGTAACCTATATAGTGTAGTATTAAAGGTAACTTTAATAAAGATAGCTATCTAGAATTTTATATATAGGCTATTCTAGATTACTATTAACTTTAATAGATAGCTACTTAGACTCTACCTACTCTAGTAATAGCTCTAAGACTTTTCTTAACTAATTAGTATAAAAAACATTATATATACGTATATACGTAGATAGCTAGAGCTAGAAAAAGTAACTATTTATAGTAATAATTAGATAAGAGCTATATATCTATTAATTAAGCTTTATATAAGATAAATCTATTAAAAAGCTATAGAGTTTAATATAGATAAGATTATCTATAGTAAAATTAGATTCTTAGTACTTTTTATTTATCTAGAGTATCTATCTAGTTTACGCTTTTATAATATTACTTTAAGTAATCTTAGTAGCTTTTTTTATAGCGTTATATTACTTCTTAGTAAAATTCTAAGCTTTTTAGTATAAAAGATACTTATATAGAGTAGAGACCTTAATTATATACTTTTTTTAATTCTAGTAGTATATTAGCTAGTATTTAAATTTAATTTTATATACTATTAGTTCTATAGTTTTATATAGTAACGTAGCTTATATCTAGTCTATATAGAGTAGAAGATCTAACTAATTATTCTAATAGTAGTTAATAAATAGACGTAGATACTAATTAAGATATTAATTAATAATCTCTATATTTCTATTAGTTTATAAATAGTACGTAGTAGAAAGCTTCTACTTAATTTCTATAAGCTAATAGAGCTTATCTATAAAGGTAAAAGTAAACTATAGACTATAATCTAATATAATAGATCTAAAAGAACTATATATATACTAGATATATTAATAATATAGCTTTACTATACGTTAAGCTATAATTTTCTTATAGTATAGTAGAGAGAAGCTTTACTTACTTAGCTAATCTATAATAATATATATATAATTAAATTCTTTCTTATTAGAGAGAAAGCTCTTAAAATCTATAGAGGCGTTCTACTATACTCTCTTAGAGATAGATAGAGGCTTTAGAAGACCTAGCGTTTTATTACGTAGAGTATAGCTCTAGTAGTAAACCTTATATACTACTATATACGTATTAACGTCTTTTTATATATCTAGCTAGTAATATTAATCTTATAGTAACTAGGTAGTTTTCTAGTACTCTAGATAGATAGTTATCTAAGTAGCGTATATAGCACGTATTAAATATACTTATAGATAGTTAATAGTAAAGACTATTAATTAATTCTAATAGGTTAATAAGCTATCTTTTATTTTCTAGGTAAAGCCTAATATAGTAGCTTTTTCTTAAGCTAGCTATAGAGATTTGTCTAATTAATTATTAGTAATAACCTAGTTAATTATAGTATAGAGATTTTTTATAGAAGATACCTCTATAAAGGTATTTATAGACGTAATTTTTATAACGCTACTTACTAACCTCTTAGCTACTAAAGTAGTTAGCTTACCTAAAATTTACTTAATAGTAAAGAGACTAATTTATTTCTTACTTAGAAAAGCCTTTATATAAGTAGTATAATTCTTCTTCTTTTAGATTTTAAGTTCTTTTTACTTTTATAATAACGCGTTAGCTACTATATTAGCTAATCTAGGTTAATAGGTAAGCTTAAGGTTATAGTTAGTAATATTATTAGTTTAGTAAATCTACTTTATAGTAAGTTCTTACTTAGTTATAAAGTACTCTAGAGCTTAATAGTTAGTTAATACTATAAATAGTTCTAGATCTTATAGACTAATTAGCTAGCTTCTTTATTTCTATATACTAAGAATAACTACTAGTATTTCTTTATTATAAATACTATAATTTATCTAGGTAGTATTTATTATCTTACTAAAGAAAGCTATAGATTACTAGATACTATTCTCTTAAAGCTATAAAAGAACTCTAGTAACTATACTATCTAATACGTTTATCTTAACTCTAGTTTATTAATAGAGAGAGTAGTAAGCTAGAACGTTATTAGCTAGTATAAGATTCTTAATATACTAAAATACTATAAGCTTAGCTTTACTAAAGGCGTACTATACTCTCTATTTTAGTAGCTTAGTAAGTAGGTAAATAATTCTACTATAATCTTTTAGAAAGGCTTAATAGAAATTATAGAAACCTAGAAATAATTAAAGGCTCTTAAGAGCTCTTAGTATAGGCTAATTCTAAATAGTAGTAAC